AAGAGTATTGAATATACCATGGACTGCCAAGAAAACAAACAGATTCACCCTGGAGAGGGTTAAACCAGGCTGCTCCTTGGAGGCAAGGATTCTGGGGCTTTGTCTGACATACTTTGGACATGTTGTAAGGAAGGATCGGTCCTTGGAGAGGGACATCATGCTTGGGAGGGTGGAGGGACGGTGCAAGAGGGGAAAACCCTCTATGAGGTGGATTGATTCAGTGACTGGAGTAATCGGGATGGGTGTGTCAGAGGCTGTCCGATTGGCACAAGACAGAGCAGGGTTTAAGGCTGTTGTACACAGGATCGCTAGGAGTTGCAAGTGAATTGACGGCACATAACAACAACAACAACAACAACAACATGCTGAATGGTTAATTTAAAAAGCTGGAGTATATGAAGAAGCATCAGGATCAGAGAAACACTCAAAACCATCCTGTGTTATGTGGGTAACACAACCTTGCTTATAGAAAAAGACTTGAAGCACTTACTGCAGAAGATCAAAGACTACAGCTTTCAATAAGGGTTCCACCGCAACACCTAGAAAACAAAAATTCTTCTCACTTGACCAATAGGTACCATCGTGATAGATGGTGCAAAGATTGAAGCTGTCAATAATGTCATCTTATTTGGAGCCACAATCAACACTAATGGTAACAATCAAGAAATCAAAAGAGCCCGTCCCATAATCCTATTTCTTTTGGTCATCTTCCCTGTTCCCGTGAAATCACAGGCACAAAGGTCAAGCTATGCAGCTCAACCCTGAGCACAGGAGGTGCTAACCCAGGACCAAAAGGAAATTGTTCTAGTTTCTTAATGCAAAATGCAAGTCGGTATATTCTTTTCCAGAAGGAACCCACCGCAGACAAACTGGACTGCCTGCTACAGAACAAAGTACAGAAAGAGCCAATGGGAAGAAATTCAACAGAAAAGAACCTGCTGTGCAGTCAAATTCCAGAGGGTCCTCACTGGTGCATCTCTTGATACAATGGCTGAGAGGAACCAAAAGCCTGGAGTTAGAAAGGCTAAGTGAGGACAGGCTCTCAGGAACAAGGAAGAAAAAAAGGCTAAACAAGCACCTAAAAGAGAGCAATGTCTACTACTGAAGTTCCCACAAAAGCAACACCAACACACGAAGCTGTGAAGCCTGTGAAAGTTTTTGCTTCCTAAGTTGGTGAAAAATGCTAAGTTGGCAGATGAGACTTAAAGATTCATTTTAAAAAACCAACCCAAAACCCCTCAAAAGACATTTTGCTTTGGGAAAATCGGCCATCAATGACCTCTCCAAAGTGCTAAAGAGAAACATTATCAGTTTAAATACTAAATAAAGTGTGCCTATTCCAAGCAATGGTTCCACATTAGAAATGTGAATATTGGACAAGAACTAAGGATGACCGGATAATCATCATGCCCTTGAGTTGTGGTGCTGGAGAAGAGTGCTGAATGAACAGCTAAGAGAACACACATATTTGTCTCGGGAAGTGCAGTCAGGGGTGCTCTGTAGAGGGTGACACTTCATCTCACAGACTCTGGGCATACTGTCAGGACTGGGTCATTCCTTGGCAAAGGACATCACGCTGAGAGAGGTGGAGGGTCAGAGAAAGAGAGGAACTGATACAGTGACTGAACAATGATCAAAACATATCAGAAATGGTGAGGATGGCACAACATAGGGCAGGGTTCAGACTGGATGTTCACAGGGTCACTATTGGGACCAAACAAGTACAAACCATTTGTGCCCCCAGGGACCTTTCAGGGAGACTGTGGGTGCCTGTTATATTCTCTCTTGCACCCATGTTCCCCCATCAGAAGCCTGCATCTTCTTTAATCACTGGGGCTCAGCCTTGAGCCAGCCAGGCAGGCCCCCAGCCAGGAAGAACCCCTTTTTTGCATAAAAAGCAGAACACAGTCATCAGGTGCTGAAGTACAAATTTTAATAAAGCGTTTGAGCCTGTCCTAATCCATAACTTAGCTACAAAGATGAAAAACAAACCCCATCAAACCACAAACAAAGAAAAAATCCAAACCATCACAACTTTAGAGCCATCAAGGTGTCAAATACTTCATCATAATTTGAACATCAGCTGTGAAAGTACAGATTAGTGTTTCAGATAGTGCAATATTTCCAAATGATGACGAATCTGAATGCAATGATGAACTACCCCTCCTCACAATAAAAAAAAAAAAAAAAGAGAGAGAGAGGAAAAAAAAAGAAAGAAAAAGCATGGATATTGGTGTTTATGGACCCTTCTCTCCCCAGGCCGCCAGTGGTTCTGATGATCAGGTAATAAAATCTAGATGGGATCTTCTTTATTTTGTTGAAGGCCCTAGCACAGGATTACAACCTGCCCAGTGCACAGCCCTGGTCAGGAGACGTCCTCAAAGGAATCGAGTGTTTCAAGTCCATGGAAATCAGCGGTTACAGACAAATCTTAAATAAGAAAAATAAAAAAGGCGCCATCTTGAAATTTCTTGGAGTTTTCTCATCAGAATATAACACACACTCTGTCCTGTGGAATCCAGGAGCCCTAGCCAGTTGTGACTCCGGCCTGCGGGACACTAGTCCTCATTCAGCTGCCATGCTCTGGGGAGAGCTGAGGGTGGGTCTGGCCTGCTCTGGTGCCAACATGGTTGTTCTTGCTAGAAGGCGTTTTGCTGCTGTGGAGCCAAGCTGCAAGCCCAAGACGACTCCAGACCACCAGGCCAGGCAATCCTGGCTTTTAATCGGATTCATCTTGGTGGAGGGGGATTCAAAAGGAGCACGATGAGGTGGAAGAGGGTGGATGGCTGTCAACCTAGACTGCACATGGTCTTGGCCTCAATGGCCTGCGTCTAGGATACAATCCCGGTGATAAAGGGAAAGGCTGAGGGCAGAGAATAGTGGGCTGAAGAGTCAGCCAAGTGGAAAAGGAAAACTAGCCCCGAGGATGCATGAGTTTCCTCGGCCACATGGGCCTACGTCAGTGCAAAGGACTCTGGGATTCCCTGTGCTAAGGAGATGGCGGCCGATCTGAGCCTCTTGGGATTGTACAACTTTGGGGTGATGGGCCGTGGTACCTCGGGTTAGTGTCTGCCTCTTTTTTGGGTAGGAGCAGGAAACGCTGTGTGCCCTTGGAACCGGCAGACTTTGGGAAATAGTCTGGAAATGGGCATGCCTCTGAAGGGCTAGTGCTGTTTTTCCCTACCAAACCCAGTTAATGCATAAGAAGTGGAGCAGAGCCAGGGAACGCGAGGCAGCCCGGCCTGTTGAGCATGAAGACAGGCCTGCGTTGCTGAGCTGAGGTCTGACCAGCAGGCCTATTGGCCACCCAGTAGCGGGTGGTGCAGGGGGCCTGGCTCCTGGACAGGCTGCCGTGGACAGAGTGTAGGCAGAGGCTTGGTCAGGTGCATAGAGGCTTGGCTAGGCCTTACCTGAGTAAAACAGCTTCGGAAACGGAAGGCGCTTCTTCTGAGTAGTGGGCTTTGTGCATTCAGGCCCATGGTTCTGGATCCTGGGGGCTGGGGTGGGGTGTGTACCAGGACTTTTTTGTGCACAGCTCATTCACCACGTTAAGCAAAGAAACAGTCACCAGAAGGCCACATCCTCACTAAGAGAAGCCCCTCTGTGCTCCCCAGGACCTGGGCTCTGGCCCGGGAAGCCAGGAGGAAAGGACCAGCGTGGGCAGAATCTGGGTTTATTTCCCACACGCCGTGCTCCCCAGTACCGCCGGGGGAGTACTGTATCTGGTTGTTGTGTATGTCTCAAAGTCTCCAGGCTGCAGGGGCGGCTCATGGCTATAGAGAGGGCCCGGGGCATGTCTCCTGGCCCACAGGCTGTGCTCCAGAGGGCCCTGGAGTCCTGGAGGCGGTGGACAGGGTGGGCGGCTCCTAGGACAGCTCGAAGCCCGTGTTCATGCTGATGGCGTAGCGCAGCTTCTCCCGCAGGACGCTCTTCTTGCTGTAGTTGGGCAGCTTGAGCAGATTGAAGCAGGTGGATGAGGTGGGCAGGCGGCCCCCTGGCTCGCGCTTGCGGATGGTGAAGAAGCCTCGGAGGACGCTACCCAGAGTGTCCCCAGTGTCCTGCAAGCACACAGCACGCAGGGTTGGGGCATCTGGCTGGTCCCTGGGGGGTGGGGAGGTGCAGAGTGGGTGCACCACACTGAGTCCAGGGTCAGCCTGCAATCTCAGGACCATTGGCTCTACGAGCTGCACACCTGCCTTCTCAGCACCAGACCCCACCTGCGACTTGAACCCTGTCCCCAGTGAGCTTTCTGAAGTAGCTCTTCTGCTCAGGAGCTGATTGCAGGTTAAATGATTCTTAAAGGCCAAGAGAGTGTGAAAATACATTATACACACCACAACAAGATAAACAACCCAATCACAAAATCAGCCCAGGATATGAACAGACACTTTACCAAAGAAGACATTCAGATAGTGAACAAACACATGAAGAAATGTTCAAAATTCCTAGCTTGAAGAGAAAAATACATTATACAGCTAACAGTTCTGAGCACAGCCTCTATCTCCCTCCTGCTTTCCCCTCCTAAGTGAGGATGCTGAGGACAGTCTCATGTTACCACAGGGCCTCTGTGACACTGTGGAAGGCGCTATACCCAGAAGGCATTGGCTTTTCATGGAGAGACAGGACACAGTTACAAGGGCAGCTGTTTGCTGAGAGCCCCTGTGAGTTAAGCAGGTAACAGAGAGTGACAGCTCCTAAGCTGCCCATGCTCCTTTTACAGACGAAGACCTGGACTTTCCCAGGATGCAGCACTGCCAGCGGATAGAGGAGGTTGCATGCACAACTTCCCCTGACACCTGAGCCCTTGTTTCTTCCCTCTAACATCTGGAGCCCTGGGCAGAGTAACAGCACCTCCTAGAGGAGGTTAAGAAAAAGGGCATTTGGACATTGGGCCTACCTTCCCCAGTCAGTGGGATCTGCTGAGGGCGGCTGGCTCTCCCTTGCTGGGATGTAGACTGGGTGAAGGCCCAACATGGTGGACGCCACAGACACCCACCCACCAAGAAGTGGTCAGAGAACATTGGCTGAGAGGCTGCCTTGTCCCCAGGAGTGGTACCTGATCATCCGAGACTTCTACACAGCGGATGGAGAAAGGAGGCTTGAGGTAGGCGAAGCCCAGCAATGGGGGCCTGGAGCAGCTGGTCACAAACTGCAACACAAGGTGGGCTCAGCTGGGACAGAGTGGGCCCTGGATGGAGCGCTGTGCTCCATGGTTCTCTCCCCCTTCTGTCACTGCCACGTGACAGAGAAGTGTCCCCAGCCCACCATCGGGGACAAAGTTCCCATCTTTCCTGGGGGGACTAAGATACACTACATTCTCACCACTGGCACTGAGGTTTCTGGATGTATCTCCACAGGCATGCATGCACGCACACATGTCCTCATACACAGGGCGCAGTGAGCAATGAAAATACCTTCAAAAACATGGCTCTCTCCTCTGGTGTGAAGTCCGAGCCCAGGATATCCCACAGCCAGATGATGACTCTGTGACTTCCGTGAAACCCGCCATAGTACACTGTGTGCTTCCTGCAGGTGACCAGACAATGGGGCCAGTTTAGACCAGCAGGCCCCACTACCACCACCTTCTCTTTCAAGTCACATGCCCCACACTTGAATAACTCCGGCATGTCTGGCTGGAGAGTTCGAGAGCAGAAACTACTCATGGGGCTGGATGCTTCCAGGGCCCCGCTGTTGTTTTGTACTGTTGAGTCAGATCCAACCCACACACAGTAGGTTTTCAAAGGCTGAAAACCACATGGGAGGAGACTGCCCATCTTTTCCCCCACAGAGCAGCTGGTGGGTTCGAACAGCATGCCTTTGAGTTGGCAGTGCAGCTCCTTACCACTAGGCCACCAGAGCTCTAGGGGCTTAGTAGCCCCCACTTGCTGCCATTTCTCAATAAAGTGGTTAGATTTTTTTTTCCCCCCAAGGGGGAGTGGGAAGAGGTATAGAAGGGAAGATGTGCTTCTGAAAAAATCGCCCCAAAAGAATCCAGCACAGGGAAGCAGCTGGCTATCCAGGAGATCAGAGAATCTCCTCCACTTCCCACTCCCAGCCTGCCTCTTACTTCAAGTCTTCCAGATCGATCTCGGCATTGTCCCCCGAGATGAGTCGCTGCAGTTCGGGCGTGGAGAACATCCGGATCCACTCGGGCTTGATGATGGAGCGGAAGCCGCTGATGAGGGCGGCTGTCTGGTTTTTGATCTGAGTGTGCATCCGGAAATGTGCCATCAGGTGGATGTAGCTGATCCTGTTGCCATCGAGGCCGAGAGAACAGCAGGAATGAGCTGGGTAGAGTGGTGCTCAGTGAGAGGAAAGAGGACCCATGAGAAGACCCCAAACCAGTCCCAGGGCACTTCACCAGAACCATGACAACATCAGCAACACTGTGTGCATCCCAGGGCATCCCCCAGTCCCCGTGACATCACAGAGACTCCACTATGCCCAGGATCAAGACGGGCTTCTCCATGTGACAGACTGCAAAGTGTACTTTGACATTTCCTCAAATTTCACCCTTTCTGACACAGGGCAATTCATATATAGCTCAGGCCCCTTGGCACCCTTCAAGTGGAGAGAAACCATTCTGAGTGGCAACCTCAGTTTAAATCTTGTCAAGACTAACAGTGTGCAGCCAGGAAAAGGCAGCTCTGTGCAACATGTTTAAGCTCAGCTGAGAGGTGGGGGCCCACGTGTGACCCTTCCAGGCAGAGGGTCTTTAGAGTCTGTTTTTCTGAACACAATGGAACTATCAGCGTGTGTATAACACAGGTCTTCTGAACAGGTTAAATACACTTCTATGGTCTTGCCAGCACTTTTTTTGCTTAGCAAACCGTTGACTCAGACCTGGAAGAACTGAGTCCAGACTGGTTACAATGCTCACGTATTGCAACTCAAAGTAGAGGTGTACGCAAGCACAAAGCTTAGACTCAAGCCACAGACCCTGAAGAAAATCCTAATTGTTCTTTAATTATTACATCTTCTAGCAGCAAAGGTGTGGCACATACATATGGGTTCTGTTATCACTGTTCTTTTCATTCACTCTTTGAAGCAGGTGTTGTTGTTAGGTGCCATCAAGTCCGACTCCCTCCTCATCTGACTTCCTTGAGCCCACTGCTGCAGCCACAACGTCAATCTATCTCGTCGAGGGTCTTTCTCTCTTTGCGCGGACTCTCCACCTTTCCAAGCATGATGTCCCACTCCAAGGAATAACCTCTTTTAGAAACATACCCAAAGTATGTGAGATGAAGCTTTGCCATCCCCGCCTCCAAGAAGCGCGCTGGCTACAGTTCCCCCAAGACTATCTATTTGTTCTTCTGGCAGTTGTGGGACATTCAGTACTCTTCTCCCACATTAAAACTCAATTTTTCTTCTGTCATCATTTCATTGTCATTGCTTTTTACCAAGAGTGAGCAAGGGTGCTAAGGGTTTTTCCTTTTAACATCCAGGAAGCCTGAGGCCAGGTATCAGCCTTAGAGAGGGCATGGTGTGTCACCACACCAGAAAGCCCCGCCATTATACTGAAGGTTCATGCTAAGAACATACACGCTTTTGCGTTAATGGAGTTTTCACAGGTACATGTCAAGGTAGAAGAGGCATTTCATCCGGGAACACAGCCTACGCTGGCCTACCTCCAGCAGCTGTTACACACACACAGCTCCTGCCACCACCTCTGATCAGAACGTCTGCTGAGACCTGGCCTCTCTGGGAGTGGCAGGCTCTGTGACATGTCATAGACCTGGTAGTAGTAAACCCATTTACTAGCCACTCCAAGCGAGCCAGACATCACAGATAGCATTCTACATGTGCCACCTCTTGGGGAATCCCTGGCACGGGCTCACGAATGGGCTCAGAGCGGCCACAGGTTGTACTGGGGCAGGACCAGGGCTCATACTATGCCCTGATGCAGGTAAGATTCAGCCCTCGCATTCTTCAGGCCTGTTTTCAGGAGGAGCCAGGCCCCGGAGAAGGATCATTGTGCTTGGAAAAGCAGAGGACCCATGGAAAGGGGGAGGAACCTCAATGAGATGGACTGACACAGGGACCATAACACGGGCATGAGGGTAACAGAGATTGTGAGGACGGCACAGGATCGGCAGGGTGCTGTTCTGCTCTGCACAGCGTTGTTACAAGTCAGTGAGATGGCACCTAGCAACAAAACAATAACTCTGACAACAGTGTATGATCCCTGTCCCTTTGAACCTTCTAGGTTTTCAAACACATGACCAGGCCAAGGGACAAGGCCTACACATTTCCAACATAGTGAGAACAGCATCTCTCCTGACTATTCTTGTCTAAGAATGTAAGACTCCCACGAATGCAGACGGACTGGGCTGCTGGGCCTGGAGGGACCACGGTGCTTGAGGACAGCAGGCTGCAAGCATGGCTGGCTCAAACGACTTCCCTGGTGGTACTGATTTCTCACTTGCCATTAAAGGGTGATGCTCAGGTGACAGTTCAAGTGCTTAGCTGGGCCGGAAGGCAGGCAGACAGATAGAGTGAGAAAAAGGCCTGTACCTACTCCTCTGCTGGGCTCAGCCATGTTAATCAGGTAAGAAGAGGGCTTAGCGGACAGTGCATTGAAGGGTGTTGACTCTAGAACTGGAAAAGGGTGACGTTTAAACAGGTTCCTGAAAGCCTGTTATCTGTGGCGACAGCTGCCAGGCCTCAGAGTCTCCTCCATGCCCGTGTCGAAGCACCTGGCCTGCGCCTCCCCACCACCCACTCCTCCAGGCGGTCTTCAGGCCAGCAATGCCCCCTAGGCTAGGGGATAGCGTGCCCAGCCAGTTCCATTCAGAGCCATCGTTAAATGCCTCAGGAGACCGAGTTGCCTCTGACCTTCGAAGTGCTATCGTCAAGAAAAAAATCGTCAATTCTTCTTTTGCAAATCGTATTTAATGCAATTTCGGCCTATGAGCTCTAGCTGGAAAATTCCATTATGATATTTATGGTCTCTTTTGACTTCAATCCGTCTTAATAAATCTCCCACGGAAGCCCCAAGAACCAGAGTAGAGTCGTCACAAATGGTGACCTTAAAAATCTAATTGCTGTACTCACTTATTTTCATTTGTAACAGGAATGGTCTTCCCTCCAGGAACCAGTTCGTGGCAAACAAGCTGGAGAAGAAGGGGAGTAAATTATACAGAGACAGCTAATGGGGGGAAAACAGAGATGGTTCCCACAGACCAGGGAGCCTGACACAGACAAACAGCCCCCAGAATGACAGAATGCACACGCTCTCCACAAAAGTCAGGTTTAAAGATCACAAGGCAGACAACAGTGAAAGCTTCTCCTCTCAGGATCCTTGTTCAGACATGTGTGTGAAGGCTATCGGCTCTCACTAAAGGGAAGTACGAATGTTTCTATTAGGTTGTTGTTGCTGTGTGCTGTTGAGTCGGAACCAGTTCACAGCTGACCCTCCAGTGGGTTTTTTCAGAGGCAATAAACTGTTTGGAAGATTGCTCTTCCTTCTTCCACAAAGTAGCTGGTAGATTTGAACCTCATACGTTTGTGATAGCAGTGTAGCTTCTTACCACTAGGCCACCACAGCTTCCTAGAGTAGGATGAGGAAAGGGGTTTCAGACATCCCCACACTGGATGGCACAAAGGACAGTGAAGCCTTGTCTCACACACTTTGGGCATGCTGCTAGGAGAGGATATTCCTTGGACAGGGACACGATGTTTGGAAAGGTGGAGGACTGGCGAAAGACAGGACGCCCTTCAATGGGCTCTGGCCTGACACAGTGACTGCTGTAACGGGCTTACGTGTGTGAGATGGTGAGATGGCACACGGTTCAGACCTGCTGGCCACAGGGTTGCTAGGAGTAGCATTCGACTTACCTCACCTGACAATGATAAACCTCCACCGCACTGGAGCACTGTAAGGCTGCTAACAGAGACGGTGGGGAAAGTGTTAAGAACTGTGTTACAGTATGTACTTTGTGGTACTACTTGGGGGAAAAAGAAACTATACACATGCCCTGAGGGGAGTCATCTAGAAGGACAGGAGCAGCATATGAACAGGGCACTGGCACTCCAAGGGATTTTCATTTATGCCTGTTATGTTCTTACGGCTGAATTCTCACTGAGAACTTGCAATATTCTGATGATGTTGTTGTTAGGTGCCGTCGGAATATGACTCATAGCGACCCTATGAACCGCCGACTTGAGTATTTCCTCCCTAAAATGTCCATCAGGAAGAAAGGTCAAGATCTGACTGAAGATTCACAGAAATGCTCTATAATGCCAACTGCTTTCCACTACAAGAGAGTTCTGTGGGCAAAGAGGATGGGGGGGGAGGGGTTTGACCTAAAAATCAAAGAATGTGTTGAAATGCAAGTTGGGTTGTTACATATAGTTTTAAAACAAAAGAAGAAGAAGAAGAAAAAGAGAGAGAGCATGCTTACAGCATGTGGTGCAGCAGAGTCTGACAGCCACAAACCCAGCCACATAAAAAAGATGAAAAACGAGTAAAAGGAAGCATACATTTAACGTCAATTTCACATGAGTTCTGGTAATACACTGCAGCTCTAAAGACAGGGAAAGGGAAAACAGCCCATCCCAGGGCGGTCAAGATGGAGGCAAGCTGAAGGTCTGCCAGCTGGAAGGGTCCCTGGGAGGCATCCAGCCACGTATTTCTCAAGAAGTCTTGTATATGAAATTATTCAGGGAGGGGCCCTCTGAGAGCTCGATTTTCTTTCTCTGAAAGAGCCTGTGGATAAAGGAGCTGGGAGACCTGAAAGTGAGACATCACCAAACCAGGGTTTGTCTCGAGGGCTCTCAACATCCCTGTACCTGGGCTCCACAGTCCCTCAGACGGGGGAGCAGGGCTCCAAGTCGGACACCCAACAGTGAGATGAGGACACTGTGGCTCCGGGAGTGACCCGCACCAAGGGGACATAGGTCACTGGAAGCTGGCTCTGCACTGGCAAGTTCATCTGAGGTCCCTCCGCTGGGACACGGCTGAGGGAGCGAGGACACCAGGGGGACAGGCTGACAGGGGCATTCTGGGAGAACGGCTTCTCAGGCTCTCTTGTTCCTGCTCTGCTCTGGGTGATGAGCTTGCAAATGTCAGGGTTCTGTGAGCAGCACTTCTCGGGGGGCTTCTTGTCCCTCTGCAAGTCCTAATTCCCCAAATTTGTGCCAACCTAATCCCCACCATGGTAACGAGAAGCACAAAGGGGAATTAGGGCTTCCACCAGGCAGCACCCTCAGACACTGGGCCTTTGCAAGGAGCTCCCTGGGGGGACGAGCGGGGAAAGGCCAGGTCACCCAGGAAGAAATGAGGTGCAAGGTGGAGGAGAGTCTTTGGGGAAGGAATGCATCTCTCGCAAGCAGTGGAGGGAAGGGAGAGGAGACGAGGCCTACCTGCCCCATCACATCTTCATCGTACGACAGCGTCAGGCCCAGGTCAGCGATGTCTCCGTCATAGCGCTGGGGCAACAGAGAAGAGGACATGCCGAGGCCGATGGTTGCTATATCCTTACAGAACTGTCACCTCCCCCACCTTGAGGCCTGCCTTGCCCACTGACCTTGATGGAGGTGAGGTTCTTATAGAACTCTGAGTCCAGAGACGGCAGCTCATCCACGGAGCTGTAGAAGACGCTATGGTGGTGGCCGAGCAGTTGGCTCAGGAAGAAGGAGGCAAAGGGCACGTCCACCACGATTCCCTGGGAGGGAAACCATAGCCTTGTGATGCCACCATCTGGGGCGCCATCTCTGTCACCTGACCTGGGAGGTCCAGGCTGCAGAGGCGGCACCTGAAGGTGCAACGGCAGTTCCAGGCCATGGCAGCTGTTTTCAGTTTGAAGGACAATCTCTCCTGATGATTGAACTCACAACTAAGTGTCCCCTGGGGACAGGACAGTGGGGTGGTGAAGGGCGTGGGTTCTGGAGCTCCAAGACCAGACCCAGGCCTGCAGGCCCAGTTTGGGGGGGCCCACTCCTAGTTTCTCGGGACTATTGTTGTTGAGTTGGAACAGACTCACAGCTGACTCTCTAGCAGATTTTTAAAGGCAGTAAAAATCACATGGGAGATGACCTTTTCTCCTCTTGTGGAGCAGCAAGTGGATTCAAACTGGGTGCCTTTGGGTTGACAACACTACTCCTCAGCACCAGGTGAGCAGAGAGGGATTCAGTCACCGTGGGTGATGTTTGAGCACAGCACCTGAGCCTGCCCAGCCCATGGTGTAATGGGCATGCGCAGAGACTGTCCAGTAGAACTGCAGGAGCAGGACACGTCGAGGCCACAGGGACAGGCCAGTCAGGCCAGCAAGTCTGAGGTCAGTGAGGCGGCCAGGGAGGCAGGCAGGGCCTTGTCGGCCTCACGAGAGCCTGGATTCCAGCCTGAGGGCTCTGAGGGGGGGAGTAGTGGGTTCACATTTCCCACAGGGAGTGAGGTAGGAGGGAGGGTGAACGGAGGCTGGGATGCAGCTGAAAAGCCGATGCAGGAGGAAGGGGAGCTGCCAACAGCCTGCATCAAAGCAGCGTCGAGGATGGAGAGGTGTGTGTGGACTCCAGAGATCTGGACCCTGTCACAAAGGGCCAGGTGCACAAACACGTGCGACTTCTTACTTGGGGCCCAATCCAAAGCACCTCAGCTGTTGACTCGACTCTTATAATCAACATTATGGTTGATTTATTTTATTTTATTTATTTTAATTTATGGGGAACGCAGGGCCTATGCTCTGGTAAAGGAGTCTGGTGGCATAGTGTGGCCAGCAGTCTGAATCCACCAGGTGCTCCGTGGGAGGAAGATGGGTGGTCTGCTCCTGGAAAAGGGCACAGTCTCAAGGAGGGCTGCATGAATCAGAAGTGACTCAATGGCACTAAGTATTGTTTGGGGGGGGTGCAGTGGGGTAAGTATAGTCTATTAACCAAGAGTTCGGCAGCTGGAACCCACCAGGCGACCAGGTGCCAGGACAGTGGGAGGTTTTCGTACATGTGACCTCACTTACCACGTATGACAACTCAACAGAATTGGTTCCACTTGACTGATAATGGAACAGGGGCCTTACAGCACACACCCAGTGAGCTAACCTCACCCGGCTGCCACAAGCCACGTGCCAAGGGCGGTGTGAGCTTGCAGGCCAATCCCCCGGCACTCTGGTGCCTTGTGAAACGTGTGGCTTAAAGAGAACAAAAAATGACATCAACTCCAAAACTTCTGGTCTCTGAGGACCTGGACCAAGCGCAGACTCAGCTGAGCCGCCTGGGGTCTGAATGCAGCCAAGGCTTAACTAGATGAGACCTGGGGTGGTAATTTCTCTGAGCCCCGGTTTCCTCGTTCTCCGGAACAGCAGTCCCATTGCAGGACTGCTGAGAGGGCCAAAAAGTGGACGGGTGGACGTGCCTAGGCTTTCTGTCCCAATGCCCTCTGCGCCTCTGTACCTAAACAATGAAATCTACACGATTTGGCTCCCATCACCTAAATGATCCTTTCATCATTTTGTTGTTCCTTTTAGTTAAGTGTCCCTCAGTGGCCTACCTCGTACACAGCTTTTCCCAGCATCTTGCCCACAAACTCGAAAAGCTGCAGGTAATTCTCATGGATGTAGGAGGTGGGCGAAGGGTACAGCCGCTCGTCCCCACTGGTTGTCTGGGGGAGAGAAGGGCAGGGAGGGGTTAGGCACCTTGCCTGTTAGCATCTTGCCTCTCATCTCGAGGCTGGCCACTGTCCACCCTGCTCCTTCAGTACCTTGAACAGATTGAGTGCTGGGTCGAACACCCTCTTGATGATCTCTTCCAGGAACTCTTTAAAGACCCCGTCCTGGTCAATGCCTGCCTCGTCTACCCCGAGGTCGTTGACGAACTTCACGCGGATCACGCCCTTCATGGCATGCTGGGAGAGCTGCCGAAGCTGCTCGTAGCCGTCCTGCAGGGGGGGCAGATGCAGCCCGTCAGGAACCCCCTACACGGGGCTCTCCGCCCTGTGACTGTGAAACATGCCAGATTGACGGGGGGGAAAAGCTTCTCAACTGCTTTTCAGAGAGAACTTGTTATGAGGAACGATGCACTTTAGGGATAGGGCTGGACAGCTCTCTCTGGAGAAGTGAGGCTGCCTGCAACAGCATGCAAAGCAGCAAGCCACAGCCTAGATAATGGGCGGGAGAAACGGGGAGATTTCTTTCCATCTCTTTAACCATTCCAAGGGGGAGATATGGGCAATCTCTTCCCGGTCTCATTCACAGCCACTGAAAACCCACTGGAGAGTCAGTTCTGACTCGACAGTACATTATAACTTTGAGCTCTAACAAGAGTTATCGTCCACATGGTAAAAAGACAGACAGAAAGAAGACATACACAACTACTCTGTAAAAACCAGACTTGGGAAGAATTATAAAGAGAAAATTAAAAGTAACTTCCTTCACCTCTGGTGCTTTCCCCAGACCCTGAAGGGCCGTGTGAGTTGCACTGAGGAACTCGAGGCAATGGGGAGCCACAGAGGGTCTACTGAGGGGATTGGGGTGGCTGGGCGTTGTCATAGAAACACCTTCCTGTTGACTGCAGGAGAGAAGGGTGGTGGGGGGGCAGGTAGGAAGCAGGGAGATGGGGCTGCAGAGCGAAGGGGGTCTAAGGAGGGCAAGGCCTTGTGACCACCCAGCCCTTCAGCCTGTGTCCCTCATCCTGAATGCCATGTGTGACCACCACACACGACTTCATGCTTCTTCTAGGAGATAGCATTGTTTGCTGGGTCCCTGGATTCTAATCTGTCACAGTCTCCCTGTCTCTTCCAGCAGTTGGAAGCTGACTGGCGACCGATGGTGTCACAGAGCAGGGATGATAAAACCAGGGCAGGGAACAGACCTGCTGTTTCCAGGGTGGCTAATGGTCATGGCTGACTTGAGGACACCTAACAACAACAACATGCCAGCTTTGGCTTGGGGATGGGTGGACAATTCTAGCATCTGCCTGCTTGTAGGGCTCACTACGTTCTGCTTCGCAACAGGTTCACTGAGTCGGCACTGACTCTGCGGCACACAATCACCACTTTAATGCAAATCCCCAGCAATGGGAAGCGTTGTGTGCTCAACCACCAGCCAATAGGTTAGGTGCGACAAAGGCCTGGTAACCTGCTCGTGAAAGCTCAGTCTTGAAGACTCTGTGGTTCTACCCGCACACACGGGTCATCATAACTGACGGAATTTACTAGATGGTACCACTACTACCACTTTAAAACATGGCAGTAGATGTGGTTGTACTCCTGCGGCTGATTTAAATGGTGACTGTGCAAGTCCTTTGTAGGTGGTTTGCATATGGCAGGTGCTTAAGGGATGTCTGGACCTCAATTAATCTTTACCTTTTTCTAGGAAGGTTGCAGTGAGAACACTGCCTTCGGGAAGGGAACGAAAGTCCTCTACATGCACTTTAAAGCACGGATGGAGAGAACAACGGCTTAGGGACGGAGACCGGGGGTCCAGGCTTGGCTCTGTCACTGACACCCAAGTGGGAAATGAACCTCTCAGTTCTGCCTTTTACAGGATGAGGAGACGTGGCTGACCTAGAGCATCCTTCTGGTTCTGAAAGAGTTCTGGCTCAAATTCACCTGTCCCTGTGTGGAGGGATCTTCTGTAGGACTTTAGAATAGCAACCAGACACTCGGTTCAAAATCTGGTCTTCCACAAAAGCCCAGGATTGCCAATAGGTCTACTCTTGGTCTTTTGATGCCCCCTTGTGTCCAAATAAGGCAAAGGCCTGTGGGCTCTTCAAGCCAGGTAACTGAGTAAGTGGCCCTGTCTCTTTCTAATTTAATACATCACCAGTCATGAGCTCTGGGGAGAGTCGAGAAGCAGAGAGGTTTTGTCTGAAATCTGACACCCTCTCCTGATGTCCCTGACCTCTGAGGGAGTCAGGGGACAGGGCACCAATTCATAGAAGCCACCCCCGTCGATGCCACCACAGCCTCTTCCAGTGTGTGCCGGCCTCAGCTGAATGGTTGGTAGGACAGGGGCTAGGAGAGTGGGGACTGAGAGACAAGGGAGGAATGTCTAGGCTCAACGAGGAATGTTCTAGAGAAGGAGATTCTAGAACACGACTGGGCTTTCCTTTCTTTCTGGTCAAAGCAGAGGCTGCACACTGATCAGTCACAGCAGTGTTTTGTAGAAGGCAAATGCTATCTGATTTTCACAGTCTACAAAATTTAAAGGGCCTGGGTGGCATAGTTAAGTAGTGTGTTGGGCTGCTAACCATTAGGCTGGTGGTTTGAGTCCACCAGGGCTTGGAGGGAGAAAGATGGACAATGTCCTCCCAGTACAGACTCTGTAACCCAACAGAGGGTCATGAGGAATTGAACTGAAGTGGTAACAGCAGGTCTGATATTGAGTTTACATAATTTCATTAGTTAAAAAGAAAAAGGATCTAAGAAATTCACCAAAACCCTGAGACTTGGCCTTTTCTCAAATAACTGGAGCGTAAATCTGCACCCAAGGGTGGGTGCTGCCCAGGTTTCCCAAGCCCAACACTGAGAAGGGGTGTGTCTGTTACCATTCATCAACTCACTCCGCATTCACGGACTGCCTTTCTTACATAGTTCCTTGGACCAAGCAGGCTGTTTCACGAAAACCAGGCAAGTGCAATGGAGGTAAAGATGACTGGATTGTATTTGTATAACATGTAAACAAAATATTTCCACATCAAGACATGCCCTGCCAGCCTGCCTCAACACCAGAGCCAAGGGGCCTCCGGACCTCTCTCCCCTCTCTTGAAGATCTCCAGGCACCAACTGCCCAGCTAGTCCGTGCTGCTGCTCCAGCCGATGTGGACGCTAATTGCACGTGGTCAGGAGAACAAACACCAGCTCTCCGGCAAGGTCCATGACAAACGTGGTGCAAACACAACAACAAGGAAAGGAAGCAAAGCTGTCTGCTATTTCTTTTTTTTTGCTATTTCTTGCTGGTGGTCAGTCACATGCTCTTCTGGAATCCTCTGACTGTCCAAAGCTACAGAATGCACTAACAAGGGGTGGTGGTAGAAGTGTGAAGAGTTTAAATGATACAAGGTCCTCCTGGGGATGGGGACGTGGGCTCAGTCACCAGCCCTGCCATGGCCAGGACCTGCGCAAACGTGTGGGCCGTGCGCTTGTACAAGCCTGGGGGCGGCTGTGGCACGCGCACTGCAGACATTACAGGCCCGTATGTTCATGGACAGTGAGCACATTCCAGCCGACTATAGTCAGGGTCAGATTTCAGCAAAGTCAACATACCAGCATGTGGACATAAGCGTGTTGAGAACAAGACAAATGAAATCCCCCCACAGGGTAACCTGGGTGCTGGACTGGTTAAGGTGGCCATCTGGCCTGAATCTCCTAAGTTCAGGTCTCCAAGGAGCACATGTCATGGCGCAGTCAAGCTCTGAGCTCCATGGCAGCTGTGCTCACAGGGAGTCGGGCAGGTCACTGCAGGGACACGCGCCTGCAGACATGAGATCAGTGCGTCAGTGGCACTAACATTTCTGTCACAGATGCTGTGATGCTCCAGCTTAGGGGCCTTGTGAGGGGAGGAGCCCTCCACAGTGGGCGTCCAGTCCCGAGGCCAGTCTAACGAAGCAGCTCTCGAGAGCAGCAGGTGGGACAAAAGATCCCTTTGCTGCTCCCCAAGTCATGGCTTCAGTGGCACCAGCCACAGGAGCAGTGAGCACGGCTTAGAGGTGGCAGCGTGTATTTCTGCAGTGGTGTCTGTCACCCGCTCCACTCACCTCCAACATCCTGGAGCGGCGGATGGTGATGTGGGTGACATGTGGGGAGGCAGAGCTGGTCTCCACCAGTCCCAGCTTCTCCTTCTCCTTGGTAACCATGTTTCGGAACAGCAGGACACGCTGAAATGAATAAAGACAGGATCAGCGGCCATGTCAACAAGGGAAAATGCCCTCCCTAGACAAGAAAACCACTTCACCTCAGAACCACCAAGAAAGGAGAGCCAGAATTGGAGTGATTTCTGTGCTGGGAAATTCCTAGATCTGACAGATATACCTAGTAGTCCTTTCTCTAGAGGTGGCACCCTCAATTTGGACTTTTAACTTTCTAAATTGTGAGAGAATAAATTTGTTTGTTAAAGCCACCCCCTCAAACAAACAAAAAAACAAAAACCCAACCAAAAAACAACTTCAGAAAACTACCCAAGTTACAGTCGTGAGAGGCAGCTGGCAGGGGCACTTTGCCACAAGCTCCCGGTTACCAGTGTCAACGCACACATCTGGGCATCAGCACTATCATATCAGAGGAGCAATGTTCCAGAAAGGCTGGCCGGGCAGCAGCGACACAGGGGAACATCATTCTCCTTTCTCAGTCAATAAACCCGGCAGCAGAACAAGCTACAGGGGCCTCTGTGCAGAACTGGGCCTGCATTCAAGGAAATCAATACTAGGAGTTTAAAAAACAGAAAGCACTTCAAAGATGATTCTTCTCACTGTCTGAAATTTTAAAGATAATCCTGGAGTACAAAAGGCCCTGGAATTTTTATCTGCCTCCTCTGGGGCTCTCAATCAACCCGAGATCCCTCCAGTAATGTATCTCCACTGTACAGAAAACAATCACCCAATGGTTCTGTTTGTGATGTGGTGGTTGCTGTGTGGACCATCAAGTCGGCACTGACCCCAAAACCAGTGGGTTTTTCAAAGCAATAAATTGCATGGGAAAAGACTGCTCATTTTTCTCTCATGGAACAGTTGATAAGATTAGAACTGAGTACCTTTTGGTTGGCAGCACAATCCCTTACATCTAAGCCACCAGAGTCCCTATGCAGATGAGGTAGTTGGGTCTTCATGACTTTCTGAATACTTATATTCCAAGAACTTAGTAGCTAAGTTAAAAAAAATATCCCCACACAACAACACAAAAATAAAATTATATTCTTATTTTTTTTTCTTTAAATAGCTACAAGTATGCACTGATGGGACACATGTTCCAGCTGGGCACAGTATAGCTTCTGAAACCCTCCAATCAAATTGTTGTTGTTAGCCGTTAAGTCAGAAGTGATGCGCAGCTGACCCTCCAGTGGGTTTCTAGAAGCAATAAATCGCATGGAAGACTGTCTATCCTTCTCCCACGGAGCAGCTGGTAGATTCAAACTGCATGCCTTTGGGATTGCAGCAGCACAGCTTCTTACCACTAGGCCACCAGTGCTCTCCGATTAGACAGGATACCACCAACTTCCCAATTCCTGCTTTCTACTGATCTTCGTGTAGTAACTGATTTTCCAGTGTTGGGGAATGTTGGGGATGAAGGGAGGGCCTCTGGCCAGGACGGATCGCCTCCCAATGGCCTTTAATACGGGGTAGAGGAAGCTCTCCTGTGTTTGGCAGGGCCAGCCTGAGAAAGTTCTCCACCTGGGAAGTTGGTTGCCACATCTGTTGAGCTGGGAGTGGTCCTCACGAGGCTGAGGTTCTCCTAACCAATCCGCATGTCCCATGTCTGTAAGCCCACCCTATCCTGACTTCCTGTTTACATGTTTGTATATACGTGCACTGCAGTCCTAATAAAATTGAGCTGGAATGATTTTCTGATCCTCTCCTGGAGTGGTGTATCTCTGTTGTGCTTAACCCCATCAGGGTGTCACTGTAGGCTGCCGGCGAACAGACAGCGACATTCCAGCACATCAATCTTAAAAACACAGCTCTGCAAATACATAAATGACATCATCAAAAAGACTGCAGCACAATCTACTGTTGAGACTGAGCTACCTCGAGTTCTCCTAGTGACCAGTGGGTCCCACTGTATCACTTTTGCAGATACAACATATCCTGAGGCTTCCCTGGGGACCACAGGGGATCCTTTGTGCACAGGGATTCTAGACTACATGCCTGGGGCCCTCACACAGCTGAATCCCCAGACACAGAGGGCCAGGTTGAGAGGCTGTGCTTTAACACGAGGCACCGGAGAGCTGTGATGGGCCTGGAAGATGGGGGTCTGTGAAGCAGTTCCAACAAGAAATACTTGGAGAAGCTAGAGGTGCTACAGCTGGAAAACAGAAGACTCTGAGGGCAAATAAGTGGTGTCTACCAATCTCAGAGAGTTCACTCCATAGATTAGAGGCTCCACTTCTGGGAGGTGGACCAAAGGCCAGAAAAGACAGAACAGATTGTTTTCATAGGAGCACAAGGGTTCCCCCCTTGGACGAGTAAACAAACAGAAGAGCTTGCTTGAAAAAGCACAGCCTCTGTCAGAGGCTTCAGGGACACAAGTCCCAACTGGGGGCGGGGTGTGTCTATACAACTCAGTGATCTCCTTTCTATCCTGAGTATCTGTTGTTGTTAAAACACAAAGGAACTGAAAAACCACATCTGCCTGCATATGACTTCTGAAGAAGAGTAACTCTACTAGTTGTTGTGTACCATCAAGGCAGGACTGACTCACAGCTGACCATGAGGATTTTCAGAGGCATGTCACACAGGAGAAGACTGTTCATTGCTCTATAATGTAACAGCTGGTGGATTTGAACTACAGGCCTTTGGGTTGGCAGCACAGCTTCTTATCACTAGGCCACCAGCGTCAAGTAAAAAAAAAAACAAACCACTATCAGAGAGATCAGAAGATTAAGTTATCCCTGTAAGGTGCGATTTCATTTGCAAAGCTGTGATTTGTATTGTTTATTAGATAAAGTATGTCTAATTTGTCAAAGAAATAAAAAAGGCAGAGCAGGGCTGTCAGGCCTTCTGACAGGCATGCTCACACGCGACCTACTGTTAGGGATGTGCTCTGTGCTCCCTGGGTGCCCCTCCCCCGGTACCTGACCTTCCGGGGCTTCGCTTCCCAGGTCTCTCACAGCTCAGCTTTTCCTTCAGTCCTCTTCCTGGGCTGGCCCTTGAAGCGACAGGTTCCGAACGGCTCTCACCTCACTGCCTTGTGTTCTCCCTCCCTCTAGTCCACCCCCCCACCCCGACGTTTATACTGCAGTTCTGAGAAATGGGTGCTGTCTTCACGTAGAGCCCATCTGCAGTCTGGTCCTCTCTCCTGTGCGCCACACCTCTGGTTGCCAGAAGCAACGGCCAGCTCCTATCCTACCCGCACGAAGCTGAACACCCATCATTTCCCAAACTGGCTTGTGCTTTTGCTCACAGCTCAGGGACCGGCTCAGGAAATGGCTAACTCCCCAGACCTTCCTTTCCTTCTTCAAATCCCACGCCAGGCCCGTAGGCGCAGGGACCAAAGAGTCACTTGAGGGGTCACGGGTGCAGGACCCTCTTCCTCCATCTTTCCCTTTGCAAACTATTTTTTCCTAATAAACCTTATCTTTTTTTACTTGGAAAAAAATATGACTTAATCTTCTTTTACTCACAAGGTCAAGTACTCAGTTGCTAACTGAGAGGTCACTGGTTTGAGCCCACCTGTCACTCTGCAGGAGAAAGCTGCTTCCACACAGTTTAGGGCTCTGAACCTCTGGGCTATTTCTAGCCTTAGTGCTTGGTGTCTTAGAGGTAGGGAGTTGTCTGCCAACCCAAAGGAACACAGTTCAAATCCATCAGCTGCTCTGCAGGAGAAAGATGGACAATCTCCTGCTGGGTGATTTACTGCCTCTGAAAACCCACTGGAGGGTCAGTGGTGGGTCAGTTCCAATATGATGGCACACACCAACAACAGCAGTCAGAATGAACGTTCAGGCCCCTAGTAGCACCACATTCTCTCAGCAACACCATCCGCCTTTGCCTATGGGATCTCTCCTTTCATTCCCAGCTGGGCCAGTGCCCTGCTTGCCCTCCTCTCCCAAAACTGCCAACTCACGCAGTCTTCTCTGCCTCTGTGCCCCAGCACTGGCAAGACGCAACCACTGTGTCCTGGAGGTATTTCCACTTGTTCTAACAAAGATAGGGCCTCCTGGGTGGAGCAAATAGTTAGAAGTCACCTATAAACATTGCTGTCAGGGATCTGAACCCACTGCACAGCAGAGAAGGCAGGCCTGGGGGTGTGCATGCTTCCAGGAAGATCCCAGCCCAGAAAGCCCAATGGAGCACATGTCTACTCAGGGACAACGTGTGGGGTCCCTGTGAGCAGGAAGTGAGTCAACTCAAGAGCAGGGGATCTGGTTTGCTGGCCTGTCTTTACAAAAAATGACAGAATGTGAAGAATGTTGTAGCAGGACAGGAAGAAACACAAATTAGTGCTGCTGTGTATTTTTCTTACTCATAATGATGAGGTTGTGACACTTGTTTAATGCAGAACTCAATTTGTACGCTATTCACGCCTGAGCATCAATGAGTCTTGGGTAAGTCTTGTTAGGAGTCTGTGTTTACCAAGGAAATCAAAGACTTGTGTCCTGTATCTAGGATAGACCCTATGGGCATTTAATAGGGACCTGATGAATATCTGTGAATGAATGATTAAATGCTTGAATCAATGAACCACTTACAACACCGCTCTATCCTCAACTCACGTTTTTGTGAGGAATCACATGAGGGATGTACTGCAGGATCAGCTGGGCCCGCTTTCTGTCCTTGTCCAGTTCTTGGAAGAGTACACTGGGCTTGAGGTCCCTTGAGAAGAAAAGGATCATTAAAACAAGACAATTAAAGCAAAAAACCATTCTCTGGCACCGGGACGGTAAACGACAGTCTGCAGGCCAGAGGCAGCCTGCTAGTTTTTTAAAAACAACTTTATTAGCGCACAGTGACACTCAAAGTACGTGAGATAAAACCTTGCCACCTTTGCCTCTAAGGAGCACTCTGGCTACAATTTTCCCAAGATACAGCTGTTTGCTCTTTTGGTAGCCAATGAACATTCAGTACTCTTCTGCAAGACCACAGCTCAAAGGCATCAGTTCTTTTGCTGTCATCTTTATTCACTGTCCAGCTCTCAGATGCACAGCAAGTGACTGGAAAGACAACAGCCTCAATCAGGTTGCACCTTTGTCCTTAAAGTGACATCACTACTCTTGACTACTTTGGAGAAGTCCCTGACAGCACACTTTCCCAGTGCAATGTTGTTGCTGTTGATTGCCTTCAAGTTGAGCACAACTCATAGTGACCTTATGAACAAAAGGCCTGAAACCCATTTACAACTATCAATATTTATCAAAGTTCACAGAGTTTCCATAGGCATGTTGTTTAGGAAGTGGATGCCACTCCTGCTTCCAAAATCCCAGTGCAATAGAGACCATAAAAGCTAAGATATTAATGATCTGATCTTTTGCAGAAAATTCTGCTCCCTGTTCTAATACTACAACTTTAAGAGCTGCAGGGGAGCCGATGTGACACAAATGCTACCCTTCTGCAGGAGGAGAACATTTGTTTAAGAGGAATGCACCCCGCAACAGTTTTTCACTCTAATTCTGCTGATACACTGGCATTTAACGACCACAGCCTGCTGCTCAGTCCAACTGGAAGAACATTTCATCCCAGCCTGGACAAGAAGCACTTGCTAAATGGGATCTGGCTCTGTCACAGTTAATTAACTGTAATTGTATTCAGTGGAGGCATCTCCTAATAGAAACAGCTGCTAAGTGATCCGTGCTGATGGCAGCAGGGCAGGAGGACAGAGAGAAAATCCCCTCAAGCCCTCACCCAGACTGCGGACAGCACAGGGGGACTGGGGAGAATCCCCTCGAGCCCTCAGGGTACACCCTGGCCCCCACCATGCCTGTCTCCCTCTCCTGCTCACTTTCGCAGCCAGTGGTCCTCGGGTGCGAAGCGCCGCCTGCAGTCCCGCTCGTACAGCGCCATCAGCCACCCGTGCACGGACTGGAACAGCTCCAGAGTCTCTCCCTTGGCGTTTTCTGTGGGAAACACACAAACGGGCGAGTCACACTCAGGGCAGAGATCAAGCTATCGAGAAAAGGACCACCTCCCGTCTTCTCTGGTCACCACGGGGTCCTTCATCACCCTCCCTCCTCATTTTACCTGAAACTAAAGGAATAAAGACATTCTGGGAATGTTCTCATCGCAGCTGGACTTGGGATGCGGCACTGAGTCGGAAGTGACTCACAGCCAGCCCTCCTAGTGAGTTTTCACAGGCTATATATTGTGCAGGAGATTAACTATCTTTCTCCCACAGAGCAGCTGGTGGCTTTGAATCACCTGCCTTCGGCTTGGCAGCCCAATTCCTCACCCACTAGGCCACCTGAGCTCCCCTACACAGAGTTTCGTTCAGACATACCATGCATGCTGCCTCCCACCAGGATGTCATCAAAGTTCATTTATAATCCAAGAAATCTCTTACTGAACACAGGAACACACTGCTAATTGGAAGTGTGAACCAGTGTATGTTTGATCATTATAGAAATAAACTGAAAGACTCCAAAGGCCAGAGATCCAGGGCAAAATGAATGCTCATTAAGCAGCCTTGGTGGGTGGGCTTGTCTGTAGGGAGTTGTGACGTTAACGTCAACCTCTCCTGAGGTTAGAATCCACTAAAGGCTCCTGGGAGAAAGAGGTGCAATCTCCTCCTATGTCATCTGTTACAGCCTCAGAAAACCCGCTCAATGGTCAGCTATGCGTCAGCTGATGCAACCGCAAAGATAGAAGAGTTCAATCCTCACTAATAGTCTCTGGGAATGCTCTGAAGAGAGAGAGGGAGAGACCTACAACCCCACTATGCTCTTGTGACATCACATGGAATAAAGAAAGGGAATTTCCAAATATGTGAATAAATGGGGAACTCTCGTGGCTTAGTGGTAAGGAACTACACTGCCAATCCAAAGGTATAGAAAATCCTCCAGCTCCGTCAAAGGACAAAGATGGGCAATCTCCTCCCATGTGATTTATTGTCTCTGAAAACCCGCGGGAGTGTCAGCTGAGTTCCAACTTGTCGGAATCTAACAACATGTGAATAAACATGTTTTCAGTTAACTCTGGTAAAGACTTAAGCTAAGGATCAGTCCGTGTCTCGGATCTCTAGAGTTCCGATGTGTGTATCATCACTCCAACACTGGCTAACTCCTTTACCTTACCTACAATTCCATCCCAGATCATCTTAAACACAAAGGAATTCAGAAAAGAGGAGATGGTGACCAGCTCTTCGAGTTTGAATGAAATCTGTTCTTCGTAAACTTCAATGTCATCAAGAATCCTAAATCAGACAAAATGACTTAGAATTTTGCATGGGGTGGGGGAATCAATGATCTATACCTTTTACTAGATAAAACAAGGTTAAGAAAAAAGCGCTATGCCTGTTATCTCTCATACTTGTTCTCTGCCGTCAAGGCACCTGTGACTCATAGCGACCGTATGTACAACAGCCCTGAACCCTGTTCTATCCTGAGCCAATATCATTGTCTCCAACATTGTAACCCCATTACCCAAGCCACTGATTCAATCCATCTCATCGAGGGTCTTCCTCTCTTGCGCTGTGCCTCCACCCTCCCAAGAATGTCTCTCTCCAAGGACTTGTCCCTCCTTGCAACATGTCCAAAGTATGTCAGACGAAGCTTCAGAGTCCTTGCCTCTAAGGAGCAGCCTGATTTCACCCTCTGCAGGATGAACCTGTTTATTCCCTTAGCAGTCCATGGTCTATTCACTACTCTTCTCCAGCACCACAGCTCAAAGGCATGAATTCTCTTTCTATCCTCCCTAGTCATTGTCCAACTCTCTGATGCATAACAAGTGATTGCAAAGACCATGGCCTGGATCAGGCACACCTTAGTTCTCATAGTTATTGACTGTTAAATTGATAGATAAAATGGTATGTGTTCTATCTGCTTCAAAATCACCTGGTATGTGATGGGATGAACCAGTCTAGTCAAGAGTGGTAACTTCCAAAGCTGGGTGGTGGGCATGTAAGCGCTCATTACTACGATCTACTTTTACTTATTTGAAATATTCCACTGTAAGAAATTTAAAATGTAATTAAGAGGAGGAGCTCTATTCTATCTCTCTCTTATTTCTAAGGATCAGACACATTCCTGAGTTGTGTCTCAGTCCATGCCTTACTCAAACCTAGGGATCTGGGCTAACTCTCGAGTGGGCAATCTGCTTATGCCACTATCAGACAGACATTACCAGTGCTCAGTAGGTGCTTGATGAAGGTCTGTAAGTGCAAGAACAAACATTCGAGGTAAAGTACGATTCAATGAATCATTTAAGATACAGTTCTATTTGGCAAACTTCATAAAACTGTTACTCCCATTTAAAACACAGCCTACTCTCAGGACATCCTTTATCAGCAATTAAGACCCTCCTCTCCCTTCTAACTACCTCTCAGGACATCCTTTGTCAGCAATTAAGACCCTTCTCTCCCTTCTAACTACCTCTGAGCTCCTTCCTCTGCCCTTGACAGGTCTGTGACCTCTTCCTGGCTAGATCTTCTTGCCTGGACACAGATGTCAGAGGCTCACTCTATCTTGTATTTGTTCACCATCCATTCAGGGAAGAGAAAAATCAATTACAAGAATATTAAATAAACAGACATTTATTAATGTCCTGCTCTGTGTCAGACACTTTACTGAGCTCTCATCTGGGCTCATGTGGCCTCGTGCATATGCAGCCGTGCTGCTAACACAAAGAAGGTGGCTCAAATCCACCAGTGTCTCCTCGAGAAAGAGGGATAATAGTCTCTCAAGTGATTTACAACCTTTGAAACTCACTTGAAGGGCAGTTATGAGTTGGTTTCAACTTGATGGCAAGGAGTCTGAGTCTTCTCATTTACTCCCGTCACTAGTAGCTCCATGAGAAAACCAAGGTTCACAGAGGTTAAGCAGCTTGATCTTGGTCAGTTTAAAATAATGACAGTAGCAGAAGTCAGCAGCTACTGGGCAAATTCAATGGCCAGTGTCCATGCTGTGCGCTGGGCACGTACCATCTTTTCTAATCTTTATACAGCCCTGGGAGGGAGGTGTGAGTCATCCTCACCTACAAACGAGTAAACTGAAGCTCAAAGAAGCTGAGCCACCTGCCCCTTGCCAGGGGTTGCCACAAAAAGTAAGCACCTGGGCCAAGTTTTGCACCCAGAACTTTCCACATAGTAATTGGCCCACTATCAACATTCAGTGTCACTGACCTGGCCCCTTGAAAGGGTGGAGCCACCACTGGACAGCCATTCTACGCCACCCACGTGCTATGTGTTTTCCCATGAATTCTTTTTTTTTAATTTAATGTGTCCTATGCATTAACAGCTTTGGCCACAACCCAGGCATTAAGCTAGGATGAACAAAGGACTAAGTCCGCTCTGCCGAGCTACTAAACGAGCATGATCAGGTGACTCTTTGCCTGTAACCAGGGGGTCCATCTAATTCCTATAATGATCCCATCACACACATCTGAGTGGATACAGCCACTGTGTGTGCCAGCAGTTGCTTCCTTCTGGGACTGTCGGAACTGGAAGAGAGGACCTCAGCCCTCCGGCAGCAAACCTACGTGATGAGGTGGCGGGAGCAGTCACAGAACAGAATGAGCATAGCCAGGAGCGGCCTGGACTCCTCGGTGTCGTTGTTGAGACATTCCAGGAAGAGCTTCAGCCCTCCGTGGGGCCCCAACTCGCAGATGAAGGCCCACAGCTTGGGCAGCAGATCATCAAGGTAAGTCAGACCTAGCAGAAGGACAGAGACACCTGAGCTTTAGATGGGGCTCCAGCCAGCTCTCATGATCGTGGAAGCTGGTGGCCTAGTGGGTAGGGAGTTGTGCCGTCGACCCAGAGGTGTGAGGTACAAATCTACCAGCTGCTCTGTGAGAGGAAGACAGGCTAATATGCTCGTAGGAGACTTTAGCCTCTGGAGGGTCAGCTATGAGCCACTTCCATCTCAATGACAATGAAGTGGCTCTGACTCATGGCTCCGACTCATACGAGACAGGGCAGAATCGTTCTGTATGTTTTCTGACGCTGTGAATCTTTACAGAAGCAGACTGCCTCATCTTTCTCCTTTGGAGCCACTGATGGGTTTGATCTTTCAGCCAGCAATCCAAGGCTTAACACACAGTGATACCAGCCAGGGCTTTATGTGAGTGAGCATGACTTATCAAGAAAGTCATTCCCCCCTCACAAACATCATGATAATGGCAAACATCAAGCAGGTGCTGGTTACGTGCCAAATCCTAAGACTCTGAATGCTTGTTCTTTGCTATACTGTAAAGCCCAACGGGATCTCCTTTTTATAAGCAAGGAGGCTAAAAGCACAGAGAGATTAAGCAACTAACTTAAAGTCACAGGGCTAATGAGTGTCAGAGGGTGCTCTGGTGGCTTGGTTTGGTAAGAAGTTGTGCTGCCAACTCAAAGGCACGCAGTTCAAACCCACCCACAGGCTGCTCTGCAGGAGCAAAATGGGCAATTTCCTCTCATGTGATTTAAGGTCTATAAACCCACGGCAGGGTCAGCTATGAGTCAGTTCCTACTTGACAGTATATTAACAACAAGTGTTGTAGACAGGATTAGAGGACTGGATGACCTAACTCAACATTTACATGTTCTATCAGGGTTCAGAAAATGTTTCTGGAAAGGACCAGAGTATTTTGAGGTTTTATGAATCGGTGGTTTGAGTTAAAACTTCTCTGTACTACCATCGTCATATGAAAGCATTATATGAAATAATAAATTGAAACAAAACACAAAACAAGCCAAAACTAACTCTATGAAACAATTTGGTTCTGAATCCCATGGGCTTGCATGAACTGGATTCAAAGTGATGACAGCTGGTTTGGTTGTTTGGTTTATAGACATGTGAGGAATGAATGAATCAATAGGTGTGAAAAGACGGAGGCTCATAACACAAGGTGTAAAATGCAGTAGACACATCGTCATCCACAGAGCGAGTGGCTTTTACAGCTCACTCAGACCTTTTGAACTCACAGCAAAATCATGCCAACAAGATCTGCGTTGTGCTCAAAGCAGGGAACTTTCTTCCTTGTTTGGTTAAAAAAAAGAGAGAGAGAGAAAGAAGGGGAGCTCTGGTGTGCTAGTGCCAAGAAGCTGCGCTGCAAATCCCAGAGGCGTGTGGTTCAAATTCAACCAGATGCTCCGCTGGAGAAGGAGGGGCAATCTTCCCCTGTACCAGGTGGACCCGATCCGAGGGTACACAACAAAGGGGGTGGGGGGGAGAGGGAAAGTCAGACAATTACAGGCGATAGAATATTAAACAACCAATAAAAAGGGAAGTTTCCAAAGAATCTTCAATGGAACAAAATGCTTAAAAGATGGCAGTGATGGAAAAGGAAGGATTTTATCTACACAGGATGTTGAACTGTGGGACTGAGAGTGGGGTAGCTTAGCTTCTTTCTGCGTGTCTGCATTTTCCAGTGTTTGATAATGAAGAGATACATTCTTTACATTCAGGGAAAAAACTCCAAAAAACCTGACTTTTTGCTCTTTGGTCTTAGCCACAAAAGCTAGATGACAAAGGAAATGTCACTGTTTGCAAAGCGTCGCAATAAGACATACATGTTGTGGCTCCAAGGCCTCCCACCACCTGTGGCAAGTGTGCCTTCCCTGCCAAGCGCAAGAGAAAGTACAGCTGGAGGGTCAAGGGTGAAATGCCATGGGTACTCGTCCTGTGAGGCACCTGAAGACTGTCTACCGCAGACTGAGGCATGAATTTCGTGAAGGAACAATGCCTAAACCCAAGAGGGTAGCTGATGCAGCACCCAGCTGATCTTAAGAATTCCAATGTTCTGCAATAAATGTTCTGATACTAAAAAAAACCAAAAAAACCCAAAGCAAAACCCCCTAACTTTCTACAAGTAACGTGGACCTCACAATCCAAATGAGAGCTGCACACAAGGGACACAATGAAGTGCCATGACTGAGGCAAACTAATCTTTGAAAGGAGCAGTTCAAAAGCACGCTCCTTCAAAATCCACTGTCCCAGTCATGGAGGGTAGGAGACTGCCCATGTTTCCTGAAACAAAACAGAACTATTTTCTCAACCTGAAAGGCAGGAGGGGAGCCCCAGACCTGTGAGTATCTGTAGCCGGATCTGGGTGAGCGTGGTGAGTGAGGTCTGGTAGAGGACACAGATGTTGCAAACCTTCTGTACTTCTGCAGAGTCCACCCGCTTACCACCGATGGGCCGCAGGATATTCCGAACTGATGCTGACTTCTGGAATGCACGCTTGAGGAGATCTGGCATGGAAAGGAGAAATGTGTGAGTGGTGCAGCTCAAGCATCCGCCCCACGCCAGCCCAAAACGAGAGGAGCCCTTCACAAAGCTCCTACCCCATGGCCGAGCCAGACAGGGAAGATCGGCCTGACTCGAGTCATCTCATGGAAATAAGGCATTTCTGGTGGCTGAAGTGGTAAGGAGTTGTATCGCCAAGACAAAGGCATGTGGTTTGAGGCCACCTGCTGCTCTGAGGGAGAAATGTGGGCAATCGCCTCCCATGTGATTTACTGCCTCTGAAAACCCACTGGAGGCTCAGCTATGGGTTGGTTCCCATGCGATGGGAAGCAACAATGACAACATTTTGAAAGAAACTTGTTTGTCAGTGTGTACCATCGAGTCTGAACCAACCCAGAGCTGACCATCGAGTGGGTTTTCAGAAGCAGTTAATCACAGAGAAGGAGACTGCCCATCCTCCCATGGAGAAGCTAGTGGCCTTGAACTGCCTGCCTTCAGGATTGCAAACTGCAGTGCAGCTTTTTGCCACTGGGCCACCAGAGATCACAGAAATAAAACAGAACATTTAAAAATCCTTTTCCTAGGATTTCAAAGACCTCTTTAGAGTCTTAGAAAAATTCTCAAGTGAGAATTTAATCAGTCCTATTTAATTATTACAAAGGATTCTTGGGCCCAATTGATTAACATCAGTATCTGCAGAGGTGAAAGTTCAAATGACTCTGTTGGAAGAAGGAGTGGCATCCACTACCTAAACAACATGCCTCACGTAACTATGAACTTTGAAAAACAACGATAGTTATAGAAGGGCTTCAGGTCTTTTGTTCATAGGGTCGCTATGAGTGGTGCTCAACTCAATGGCAATCAACAACAACAAAAACTACTGAAGGAAAGGAGTGCCTGGGTGGTGCAAAAGGTAATGTGCTGGATTAGCAACTGAAAAAGTTGGCGGTTCAAATCCACCCAGAGGTTCCTCAGAAGGCCTGCTGATCCACTTCCCATTGTTGATCCCAAAGCAGGAATGTTTATGAGATGTGCTTTGTTCACAGCTTTAGAAATTCTAGGAAGCAGTTTCTACTCAGTGTGATGGCGGCTGCCAGGAGTCAGAACCGGCCTGACAGCGACAATAAGGGTAGAGAAGCAAAGGTGGAGGAACCTGGTTGAAGTGGCCTACTGGCAGTGCTGTCAACCCAAAAGCAAGTGGTCCAAGCGCACCAGTGGCTCTGAGGGAGAGAGATGGCCAATCTCCTCCTGTGCAATTTACTCTCTGAAACTCAGTGCAGGGTCACCTAAAGGTCAGTTCTGACTCAAAGGGCAATGAAAGTGAATGAATTAGAAGGGTATTTTATAACTTCAAATGCTGCTAAGAAAAAGTGCTAAGAGCACTTCTAACTGGTTATGAAGTATATTCTAATCTTAAACCTCCCCATTTCTACCCTGCTGAAGTTTTATCTGCTGAGCTCACTCAGCCCTGACAGCTGCTACGACAAGGGCTCTGCAAACACTCAGCAGCAGAAAGCAAGCCACTCAAACACAGGTAGGTAATGCTATCGTGTTCTGTACTTGGAGCTTTTATCAGAATGGGCAAGATCCTACAGCAGGGATGCTTATGCGGTGTGGCCTGCTATGTGACTCAGAGACTCCTTTATAAAGAGCCCTGTAAAGGTTTCCCTTATGATCACGAACACAGAAAAAGTCTACTTCACAGAGAAATGGGTCGCCTTTCTTTTTTCCTGCTAATGAGAAATCTTTCATTTTGGCCATTAGAAAGTTCAAAGACAAATGTGATGTTCAGAGGGAGCCATGGTGGTCCTCACAAAACAGGTATCTGTGGATGGTCTTCTAGAAATAGGATCTTGATTTCATTCACCTGTACTTCCTTGGGTGGCCCAAGCAGTTGGTAACTTATAGGTTGGCAGTTCAAATCTACCCAGTGATGCCACTGAAGAAAAGCCAGCTGGTCTGCTTCTGTCAAGTTTAGTCAAGAAAGCTCTAAGTGTTAGTATGCAAAGCCCGGGGTCATCATAAAATACGAGGGATCACAAAAGCAATCCATTGGTGGGTTTTGCTTTTATTGGCCCTTGTTTTCTAGTCCTGATTTTCCATCATCGTTTTGCTAGATGCAAACTTGACTCAAGCAGTGTCAAGACAATGGGGAAGGTACGAGCGACGGCACACGGGGTGGGCAGGGACATGGGGACAGTCACCTGGACAGTACCCCTCGTGCGGTACTCACTCTTCACTGGGAGCACGTTCTGGGGGGATGTGGGTGGCGCGGGGGTTGGTTCCGGGTTCTCCAGAAGCTTCTTGCTCAGGATGTCGCTGAAGAAGATGCGGATGAGAGGTACACCCCACAGGAACTGCAGCTGTTTGGTGATCAAGGGCATTGACTTGTTAAGTCTAGGAGAGAGTGGGAGAGATGAGGCGCGTCAATCTGACTGTGGGGTTCCTGCTTCTCTGGCCAGGAGGCTTGCCACAAGGAGGTCCAGCTAGTCCTGGAACTTGACAAGAAAGAGGCCTGGCAAGTGTTAACACAGACCTCTCGTCTTGGCTGCTTCACTCAAGTTTCCTGAGCTGCTGCCTGCCTCACTTCCGCCAGAGTCCCTGGAGCATCACCTCCGACAGCCTCGGTACCTGTGCTTTATGCTGCTCACTGTCCACCCAAGAGAGAGCTCGGCCTGGGCTGCCTCCGCAGTTACACATGCGCACTCCTCCCTGTGGGCTGGAGCAGCGAGGCTTTTCGGCTGGAGACACAAGGATGTGTCCACTCAGGTTCAAGGAAAAGGAAGCAAATGTGGGGATTTCCTTCTCTTGCCTTCAATTTGCTGCCCGAGAGTACTGACCATAGACAGACTCTATGCCTCAGGCAGAAATATGAGCAGGAAACAGATGAGTTTATAGCTCCCTTGGCTCAAAGCATGTCTTAATCTTGGCGCAGGGTCTGCTTTCAAATTCTTAAGGCTGCTTTCTTTAATCTATTCTTTGAGCTTGTTGTTGATTGCCTTGGAGCGGAGCAGGACTCATCGTGGTCCTATGAACAAAACGCTTGAAGCCTTTCTATAACTATGTCATTTACCTAAGTTCATAGAGTTTCCAGAGGCATGTTATTCAGGAAGTGGGTGCCACTCTTGCTTCCAAATTCTTTGAGCCTAGTATTTGAAATGTTTCTTTTTATTTTATAAAAGATACCCTACCACTTGAAAAAGACCTGGAGTGTCATCTATTCTCTTTGCATACCTTTGTCTTATTTTTGCGCCAAATATATTCGTCTAATCAGTCAATAATTACTTCAAGGTGCCAAGAAAATAAGAGAGGAGGGAAACTAGATTCATGGAAATGGAACCACCAGAACGAAAATAGTGAGAATGTGCACTGTAAAGAATTGAACCAGTTTCACTGAACAACTTACACAGAAACTGGTGAATGGAGGCTAACTTGCTGTGTAAACCCTCACCAAAATCATCGTAAATTATTAAGTTAAAAAGTGGCAGTCTAGAAAATAGTACAATTTACACTCAAAAGAGAAACCTTTTAACTTAAAAGAGCTTATTACAAAATAGTATCACATTTTTGTACAATATGATTTATTAGCAATTACAGGAGCTCTGGTGGCCTAGTGGCGAGAAGCTGCACTGCAATCTCAAAGGCAGCTGGTTCAAATCCACCAGCTGCTCCATGGGAGCAGAATGAGCAACCTCTTCCTGTGCAATTACCTGCCTCTGAAAACTCACTGGAGGGTTAGCTATGTGTCAGTTCTGACTTGGTGGTACAGGACAACAACATAAGCGGCTTCTTTTGATTTGAATGGCAGTTCATAGGGCAGATCGGTTTTCCATTTTCCCATTCACACACATTTTGTTTAATGACACGGATTGCAATCTTCACTTTGTAACAGCACTCTTCCTATGATTCTTCCCTCCATTCATCCTTCTGTCCTCTCCCTTCCTGACTTCTGAGCTTTAATCCTGGGTGAAGGTCATCCTTTGGATCTTGTATCTGATTGTCGCAAGGCCTGAGTCCCTCCCTGGTGTTACTGTTCACCTTAAAACTTATCTATTGTTTGTTTGGCTGAAGGTGGATCCACTGGGTGAGTTCAGCTTTGGGCTCTAAAGGCTTACTAAAGGTCTTGGGGGCGCCAATAGACCAGTAAGCATGGTCATTTTCACGATTTTGAGTTTACTTCACACTTTCCTCCCAATTTATCCAGGACTCTCTAATGTGATTTTTTTCAGACTAGTGTAGTGGCAGCTGGACACCATCCAGTTCTTCTGTCTCGGAGTCATGGATGTTCCAAGGTCCATTAGTCCCATGGACCAGCTATTTCTATGAGCCTTTGTTTTGTTTTTCTTCTTTGCTGTGGACATGAAGAGACCCAAAGTAACACCTTAGAGGGCCACTCATAAGCTTTTAAGATCTCAGTCCCTATTCACTAAAGTAGGACGTAGAATACTGTCTTTGTGGGCTAATTATATCAACTGATCTTGATGTTCCCGGAGACCATGGCTCTGAGGTCCTAGGACCAGAGACTCATTCCCTCAAGATTATGGCTAAGAAGTTGATATAGTTGTCCCCGATTTGCTCTACAGTATATATGGATATATTTGCAGCACACACAAAGATGCATATAGAAATATCATCTGTCAAATCTATCTGTGGCCACGGATGCAGCTCCTTTTCCTGGCTCTCATCTGTTTGTCTTACCTGCTTGCCTATGTACCTACTTGTAGATGAATATCTGTTGTTCCTGACCATGCAGGATTGTGTATGGAACAGCACTTACCTTTACTGTCTGTGACTGTGTCTTATTTACCTTAGTTATGGTATGCTGATCATACCCTTATGGTGTATAGCCTGTCCCTTTACTCAACTTATGTATCTATTACTTAAAAACCAATTTTATCTTAAATTGGAAGGGAGGAAGGATGAAAGAAAGAAGGGGGCAGTGTATGTGGGGGGGGGGAGGGTCAGAGGGAGGAGCAAGTGACAGGAAAGGTGTAGACTGACCTCGATGCTTACCCATAGTCCACAGATTGGGAGAACCAGCCCAGGACAGGGTGCCAGTGGGTCAAGTTGGACTTCTTCTGTGACACGTATTTCTGACAGTAGCACAGCATCTGGGTGAGCAAGCTCACAAACCCATCCATCTCCTCTTCTAACACTCGGGGGCTGAGCGAGCCCAGCTGTAGGAGGTTGCCTACAGAGAGATGTCCTGTGTGAGTAACCCTGCTCTCTGCCTCGGGCTTAGGCAGTGGCATCTATGTACAATGAAAATTTCACACAGAAAGGGACCTGGGGGCTGACATGCAGACATCAGGGGGAAATGTATGGGCTGCATAAACAGGCCTGAGCTGGTTTCAAATCCTGGCTCTTTCAGGGGTGAGTCATGTGACATGCATGCCACCTTTCAAACCTGTTTCTTATCTCTAAGTCCGGAATAATGACCCAACTCTTATATACACTTCATATAAAGAGATTATATGAAGAAAAACATGCCAAATGGGTATTAGCTATTGTTACATTTTAATATTACCCTGCCTTCTTAGAATCAATATTAAAAAAGGACTTGTTGAAGGGTATTCTGGATGTCCTGGGAACCCACTGGTGTCCAGTGTTTACCAAAGTCACTGAAAATCCCTGGTAGGAGGAGTCTCATAATAAACTCCTCATAAAATTTAGCCCAATAAAACATTTTCTGTGAAACATCATTTCTGGTAAGGCGGTTAAGAAGTATGTACTTCCAGTGGTTTTAAGCGTTTTTATTCACAAACCTTTTCTTCGAACAAAAGTTTATTTGGGGGGAAAAGAGTGACGCAGACACTTCACTCAGATCTAAGTGTCTCCTGACTACCCATCCTCCTCTCTCTCTTAAGAACTATCCAGGCAACTCATCTGCTTTCCCTTTTCTCACCCACTTGCCAGGTAGACACGTTCCCCTTGTGATTTTAACATATACTCTCTCTACTTTCATTGCCTATCTTTTTTTTAAAAAATATTTTTATTATTAGTTTTAATGAACATCTACAGAGATTTTGGGTTTTCATTCATTCATTGTTGCACTGTTTTCTCTACCCTCCTCCTCAGTTTGTTCTTCTTTTTTCCCCCTTGAATGTCTGTTTTAATTGTCAATAGCCACAGCGTTTGTCAAAGCCAGATCTGATTAATCTCCTTTGTCAGTGTGTCCTTTGCCATTCCCTATCACTCTTTTATCATACACATTTTCAACTGTTACCAAAGCCAACGCACAACCTTTACGAGGGTGAAATGCAAATCACGCAGGTCTTTCTCCGAACCTTAAAATGCAAAGCCCAGCCACAGAAACTCACCCATAAGGCAGAGCGTATGGCATCCTTCTAAACTCTCACAGACGTCATGGCATCGCTCTTCGTCTCTTAAAAATATGATGAATTTACGAAGCATGTCATGAGATTCTAACACAGTGAGACGCTGCGGACAATTGCAGAAAGGTAAGGTAGAAGCTGGGTGCAAAGAGCTTCCCCTCCAGCCTCAGGTCTCCCACTGCCAGGGCACTCACTAGGACATCTAATGGGGCCATCGGTGGCAAGGAGGGAGGGAACAAAGACTGCTTCTTGGGGTTACCAACATAAGCGTGACCCCAGTGGCTACAGGTTTCGAAGTAGAATTGGGGGCAAGAGAAAACATTTTTGATAACTTTGGAGAAGAAATGGAGGTGGAGTTGACTAACCGGACTTTGCAGAGTCAAAGTCTTACCTCTGGCGCCAGAATGCTGAGATGTGTCACCAGGGCTGGCACAGACATGATATGAATGAGGAAGGGCCGAAGCAGATTGTCTGAAAACTGGGCGGCAATCACAGGGCTAGACACACACAGAACACCTCAGTCAGAGGACATCCTAACAAGACAGTAACCCTAAAAAGTATGCTTCCCAGGACTTCTGGGAAAACTGAAGGCTGAAAGTAGTCGAGTCAGAAACGACTTGTAGCTGACACCTTGCTGAATTTTCAGGCTGTAAATGCAAAGATGATTTCCTATCTTTCGCCCTCAGAGCAGCTGGTGGGTCAGAACTGCTGGCCTTTGATTGGCAACACAACTCCTTACCCACTAGGCCACCAGAGCTCCAAAGGCTCATAGCGGGGACCCAGGAAGCAGTTAAGTCAATGACGGCAGTGCTGTGATGTGACACCACGCTGTTACTGAGGTCAACTGGCATAATAGTTCATAAAGTTTGCTGAGCCATGTCTGGGGTCTTGAAAGCACATTGTTATATTGTTGAGCTGGATTGATTCATAGCAGAACCTCGAGCAGGTTTTTTCTGAGGCAGTAATATCTCACAGGAGGCTGCCCATCTTTCTCCCAGGGAGCAGCTGGTGCATGCCTATGGGTTGGCGGTGCAGCTCCTTACCTCTAGGTCACCAGAGTGCCCTATTAAAAGCACCTGAAAAACCATCTAAGATGTAACTTCTTGTTGTTGTGTAGAGTCAGAATCGACCCATAGCTGACCCTCTGGCAGGTTTTCAGAGGCAGTTAATCGCACAGAAAGAGAATGTCCATCCTTCTCCCACGGAGCGGCTGGTAGCCTCGAATTGTGTACCTTTGGGCTTATAGCACAGCTTCCTGCCACTAGGCCACCAACTATTGGTCCCTATTTGTCCAGAGCAAAAGAGAAAGAAGGAAATCAATGATTCTAAGAATACACAGTATACAGGGCAAAATGTCTACAGGAACCATGGCCTAATCTATTCTGAGACCAGAAGACCTAGCAGGTGCCTGGCTACCACTACAGACCAGTCTAATCAGAGTCACAGTAGACGGGTTCACACAGGCTGGGATGAAAATGTGGAAGAGAATTTCAAACTCCTAAAACAAAATAATCCACACTGCTTGAGTCTGGAGGGACCACCTAAGAGTATGATCCTTGAGAGATTCTTCAAACCTTGAACTAAAACCCCTAAGGTCACCTGACAGCTACAGATGGGTCAACAGATTCTTTAAAAAAAAATTACCAATAGAGACCGAATGACCAACAATTATAGACAATGCATTTCATTTACAATCACTTGTTTTGACTTTGTGTCGCCTTATATACATTTTTTTGTTATATCCTACATTTATTTAAGCAAATCAAATGTGTAGAGAGAGGAAATTAATGAGTTCATAACATTTTACAAATACCGAAAGAAGACACAAGATTATTAATACTCTGAAAAGAGCACATCTGAGAGGCAGTTCTGTTGTCGGAGAACACTTGCAAATGATCACATTGAGGCCACGGTGGATTTGTCCATCTCTCATTCTTCTTCTGACATCCTTTAAGTAGTTTCAATAGATAATCAACTATTTGCTTCCAAATGAACATATTAATACTAATGATTATGGTTAGCCTTGAATGTTTGTGAAGGTCAATACTCTACAATACATGCATAATGCTAGCCTTGCTGTGTTATTGCTGTACATTAGGCAGGGGGAAATAATGTCTTATTACACATTTACTGTGACATTCACTGAGTTATGAACTAGTTTGCATAGGTTAGTCCTTTGGGCAGCATGATGCTGCTCTAGTCCACCTAGGCTTAAAGATTTACAGTGAAGAGGAAAAGAATATGAATTAAAGCATTTCTACTAAACATATATTGCAATAGCTGGTGTTGACAATTTGCGTAACAAATCCAAATTGTATTGATAACAGTATATCTTTCTGTAAGCCTATGGTCTAAATGTTAGTACTGGTAAAGTCTTGAAAAAAGAAACAAAAAACAAACAAAACCCCCAAACAAACCCACCAAATTTCTACATATTTTGAAGTGACTGCAAGCTAAACTGCACTATAGAAACACTATATAAGGAAGCTCTGGTGGCCCAATGGTTAGAAGCTGCACTGTCAACCAGAAGGACCATGGATGGGTCCACCAGCTGCTCCATGGGAAAAAGATGGACAGTCTCCTCCCGTGTGATAAACTAACTCTGAAAACTCACTAGAGGGTCGGCTATGTGTAATCTGCTGTTGTTATCATTACTAGATGTTCACTTTCAGTTGTTAAAAGATCAGAATTCTAAAAATAACAAGAAAAAAAGGGACTAACCAGAAAAACTTTTTAAAAAAAGAGATAATTGACTTAAGTGAGTACTAACTTAGGACAGAGTCATTACAAGGGAACCCCGCGGTAAGTCAGAGGTTTCCTATTCCAGCTTAAATGAAATCTGCCATTAAATGAACTTCTCCTTCCTTCTGACCTGCTAAGCGAGGCTCTCACTATACTTATGATTTTTTTTATTTGATAGTGCTGTTTTAGACCAGGGTGTCCAACAGAATGGTCTATGATGATGAATGGTCCAAAGGGACTTTGTTCAGTAAGGCTGCCATCCGCTATACATGATCACTGCTCACAAAGACAATGGAGAAACCACATTTTTAATTTTATTCCATTTAAATAGTCTCACATAGCTAGTAGAGAGGAGACTTGGAACCAGGGGTTGGTAAACTATGGCCCACAGGCCAAATTTGGCCTAAGCCAACTGCCTATTTTTTTTCCTCTTTCACTCTTAATGCCTTATTATCTTTAGATCGTTAGAAATCTCATTTTCTAACCTCTGCCAGGGAACAACGAAGAATGAAAAAAATCCACAAATTACTCCTTGTAGCATTTCTGCAGAACAAAGTATGCATATTAAAACTCAATAACTGGTCACTGCCAACTTTAAACCAACTCATAGCTGACCCCTGAGGTGGGTTTTCAGGGGCTGTACACTGGGAGGAGACGGCCCACCTTTCTCCCTTGGAGCAGCTGGTGGATTTGAAACACCTGCTTTTAACCCAAAGTTGTGGCAGCCCAACTCTCCGCCCACTAGGCGACCAGAACTCCCTCAGTGCAATCTGGGAACACATAATAAGGGTATAAAAAATAAAATGGTTAGTTCTAAGTGTGGATCATGGTAACTTGCATGCAAAATAGTATTCATTTTGACTTGTTGTCAACCATATATCTTGCAAATCCAAAGAAGTTTACTATCCGGCCCTTAAAGAAAAAAGGTCTGTCCACTCCTACTCTAGACTTTCTCGAGGTTAGCTACAATGTTTATATAGCCGCATAGGGTCCCTATGCCTCGTAGTTGACTCAACAACTTCTGGACCTGAACCAGTGTAACCACACTGAAAAATATGATTCCACAGGTTATGTTTTTGCTTTAATGTTGTCTGGTGAGAACATATGCAGCAAAGAATATACTAAGAGTTTCTCTAGGTAAAATTTTGGGACATTTGTTACATTCTCCAGTTTGTGTAACTGTTCTATACTTCTGAGTTGCTTCTTCCTCACTAACATAAACTCACTGTACCCCAAAGGTTCCTATCTAATCTTTCAAGATGTTATTGTCAGTCTGTCCTCAGATATTCTTAAAAGCTCAGAATCCTTAAGGCCAATCACTTTTTGTTAGCTCAGCTACAGTAGTAGTCATTTTCAAGGCAGATTTAGAGAATATTTTTAGTTTAAGGTTTAAAGATTATCTCCGGGCAAAAGTTTCAGGGGTTCCTCCAGCCTCCATGATTCCACAAATTCTACAGCTCTTGAGCATCTGAAGTTCTGTTCTGCATTTCCTTCCCCTTTGACTAGTCATTTTTGTAATCTATGAACAAAATCCAATGCATTGCACTGGGAAAGACCTCTCCAAAGTACTGACGAGAAACGATGTCAGTCTGGAGACGGTGTGCTCATCGAGGCCATGGTCTTTGCAATTATGTGCTGTGCATCAGAAAGCTGGACAACGACTAGGGATGACAGAAGGAGAACTGATGCCTTTGAGCTGTGGTGCTGGAGAAGAGTACTGAATATCCCATGGACTGCCAGGAGAACAAACAGGTCTATCCTAGAGAGGGTGAAATCACGCTGCCCCTTGGAGGCAAGGATTCTGAAGCTCCGTCTGACATACTCTGGGCATGTTGCAAGAAGAGACCAGTTCTTGGAGAGGAACAACACACTGGGATAACCTACAAAATCAAGACCTTACACCTCAAAGCAAGGGACCAAATCACATAAGGTACTTAGCTGTAAAAAAGTTACTTCAGCAAATACTCTTTTTTTAAAAAAATTTTTTTTCTTATTGCAAATATATCTAGCAAAGACCTCTTGTCACTGCAACTTTTTAAAGGTACACAATGTATTGACAGCAATTACAGTAATCAGCTTTGGAACCCTCTCCCTCATTACTGTGATCTTCCACTAGTAACTCCCCTGTCGTCTTCCCTCCTGCCCTTGGTGATTAGTAATACACTTTGGTCTCTACACACTTGACTTTCTGCTTTTTTTAAATAAAGGAGCTTATACAATATATGTCATTTTGAAAGTAGCTTATTGTATTCAACATTTCTTCAAGCTCCATCATACTGTAGCAAGAATCAAGACTTCATTTCTCCTACTGCTGAAGTATACTGTTGTCTGTCTGTAGCACACTTAATTTATCCATTCATCTGTTGAAGGCCATTTAGATGGTTTCCACCTTCAGGTATTGTGAATAGTACCACAGTGAGTACTGGTGTACAAATCTCTGATGTTTGCGTCTCTGTTTTCAAGGTGTTTTGGGATATACCTAAGAGTACAATTGCTGGCTCATAAGGGAGTTCTATTTTCAGGGGTTTTTTTTGGAACTACCGCACTGTTTTCCACAGTGGCTATACCATTCTGCATTCCCACCAGGAATGGGTAAGCATTCCCATCTCCCCACATCCTTGACCACATCTGCTATTTTCTTTCTTATTTTAGCCATCTGAGTTGTAGTGTTAGAGAGAAGCGCTGAACATCCACGGATAGCCAAGAGAACGAGAGATGTGTCTTGGAGAGGGTGCAGTTGGAGTGCTCTTTGCAGGCAGGAATGATGAGGCTTCACCTCACAGACTTCAGGCATGTTGCTAGGAGGGGCTATTCCTTGGAGAAGGACATGATACTGGGAACGGTGGAGGGTCAGCAAAGGAGAGGAAGACCCTCAACCAGGTGGAGTGACACAATGACTGCTACACACGGCTTCTGTGTGTCAGGGTAGCACAGGATAGAACAGGGTTCAGATCTTTCGTTCATAGGGTCGCTATGAGCCATGCTTAACGCGAAGGCACCTCACAGGTGGACATTCACAGTATCGCTCTGCGGTTCTGATTTGCATCTCTCTCTCTTATGGGTAGTGATTCTGAGCATTTTTTCTTGTTTGGTGGCCAAGTGAATTTTCTCATCGGTGAAAATGTTACTCAGATCTTTTGCCCATTTTATGACTGGGTTGTCTTTTTGTTAAGTTGTTGATGTGTCATACAGATGTGGGCTTTTAGCATCTTGCTGGACATATGATTTCCAAAGAATTTTCTTCTCTTAGCAATTTTTCTTTTCACTCTTAGAGTATCAAGTCTTTTGAAGAGCAAATGCTTTCATTTTTCTGATGTTCCACTATTTGTTTTGTGTGGCTTGTGTTTTTCGTTATTACATGAGGTAACGCCTTGTTGAAATAAGGGGGCAGTGGTGGTGCAGTCTGCAGGGAGTGGGGCTGCTAACCAACAGGCCACTGCACTCTGCTGCTGGAATTCACCAAGCGGCTCCACGGGAGACAGAGGGGCAATCTACTTCCGAGTGACTTAGAGCTTTGGAAACCATGTCAGCCATGAATGGAGTCTGACTTAAAGGCAATGAGGCTGACTGTGGTTGGTTTATTAAACTACCCAAATATCACAATCTGGGCCTGACAGTATTGTTTCTGATTTATTTCCCCAAGAATCGTATTAATTCACTTGCAAATTCAGGTCCCTGACCCATTTTGAATTTGTTTTTGTGTGTGGTATGAAGCACAGGTCTAGTTTCACTTTCTGGTGGGGAAACCCAATATTCCCAGCCTTGTTTATTGGAGAGACTTTGTTTCTATCAAATGGACTTAACATTCTTGTTAAAAAAATCAGATGAAGAGAGGAAGACCCTCAACAAGATGGACTGACACAGTGAAGGTAACAATGCTTGAGCATTACAGAGATGAAGGAAACGGTGCAGGAGGGGGAAGGTTCGGAATTGTTACTCAGAGGGTCACGATGAGTCTTAACACACTTGACAGCTTCCACCAACTACTACCTATGATGATTTAGTCACCTGATAAATTTTAATATTGATTACACGTTTAAAATAAAAAAGAAAATTAACAGGTAAGTGACCACAGATGTGAAAAGCAAGGTAGTCTATGCACAGATCCCCTTGAAAAAATATGAAGTTAGAAAAGACCAAAGGGTCTTGGGATTGTGGGACTTCTTAGAGCCCAGCGCTCAGGTTCGCCAGGGATCAGCAGGTCACTGAGCAGAGAGCGTCCACCGAACCTGGTCTGGCCACGACACTTCCTGGTAAGAGTTTTTATCAATAGTTCCCCAAGTTGGTACTCCCCTCAACAGCTTATTACCAAGCAGAGTTTTTCACCTTTAGCAGTTCTCAGAATTAAAGGTATAACTTCACCAGGAATATTTATAACTTCTACTTTATATTTCCAAGGTAACTGAAGGAAATTACTGCATCCTCGCTGGTCCTCCAAATCATAACATCTCAAATCTGTGTTCATAAAATGATCTCCTTCATCCTCACACTCTCCTCTCTGTGGGGCTTTATTTTGCCCTGGTCTCCCTTGATTTTGCAAAATAAAAACTTATGGGGGTGGGGGTGGATCCTGTATCTTGGCCATTGGCAAAAGAAAGCCACAAATTGTGAACAGCTTCCTTCAGACTGCACAATAAAAATCTTCAGGTGGCGCAGCTGCGTGCTGATGAATCGGCGACCCTCTGAACCTTGCCCTTTCTTATGCCATCCTCCCCATCGCCTCTGAGCCCACTGTTACAGTCACCATGCAATCTATCTTGTTGAAGGTCTTCCTCTCCTGCTTCGACCCTCGACCTTTCTGAGCATGATGTTCTTCTCCAAGGACTCGCTCCACCTAACAACATGGCCAGAGTATGTGAGCTGGAGCTCTTAACACACAGGCTAAGAGACTGATAATGAAGAGCAGTTACAGACACATACTTTCCCGTAGAGCAGTACTTGCTGTGGTCTCTTGGCGATGTGAGCGAGCCCACACAGATAATGAAAGAAAGACAAAACAAAGGGGCAAGCACTGAGACGCACTGGCACTGGAAGAGCGGCTTCCTACTCACCGCAATGCTAGAGAAAAGGCTGCCGTTAAAGTGCCTTTGGACAGAGAAGGCCGCGGTCTCGCCAGGCCATTGGTTAACAGGATCTGAAAAGGACAGGACATTTTAACTGGTTAGGGGGCAAAGTTTATTTTCTATTCTTTCATATGCAAAAAGGAAGCAGACCGAATAGAAGTGCAGGTATATGTCTATCTGCACAAATGTTTATTAGCAGACACAATACATACGGTTTAATAAAATACTTTCAAAAAAAAAGAACCATCAAAGTACAATTGAGTGGTTTAAACAAACAAAAGACTGCACTGGTATGCTTTTTTAAAAGGAGGGAGGAGAAAGGGGATGGTTGGAAAGTTTAGTACATCATTCCCAAGTTTTTATCAAAAGCCATTAAAAAAAAAAATTAGCGGCCATTAAGAGACCAAATGTAAAATGTCAGGGTAACATATTGTTTTACAAGCAATTCAAAGTTCCAATGTCCACTGTCCACTTCCTCCTGGAGACAAGTCATACGAACTTTGGCCATCACACACCCTCACTGCACAGGACAGTTGTGAGAATCAAATCAGGAGACTGACCATCACTGATAGGAAAGGGAGGAAAGGACTCCATCAATATTGGTTCTTCTCAAACTCCAGAATTCCCAAACCCACTGCCACCAAGTCAGTTCTCATGGCGAACCTTTCATTGGGTTTTCGAGGCTATAAATCACATGGGAGGAGATTTCCCATCTCTCTCCGGAGGAGTGGATTTAAACCGCCCACTTTTAGTAACCTTATATATTACACACTATGTTAATCAAGCTTCTGGCAATTCCCTGGGGGCACAAAATGCCACAAGGTGCAGAATGGAAAAAGCAAATTAAAGACATGAACACTGAGATTCCAGCTACCAATCAAGAAGGAATCTGAAGGAATGAAGCCTGAGTTTAAAACTTCAGTGACTGGATCCCCTACAGCCTGCAAAAATGCAGAGCATTCCAGTTCTCTCCTTCTCGGAGTCATGAATGATCAGAGGCAGGGGAAGGGAGGGGGGGACATTAGGCCTTAAATTCTTCTTGTAAAAAGTCTTTCTATGAGAAAACAAGGGTAAAGAGCTGCGCTGGCAGCCCACAGACACATGGTTCAAAGCCACCAGTTGTTGCGAGAAAGAAGAGTAATCTCCTGAGCGATTTACTGCCTCTGAAAACCTGCCAGATGGTCAGCTATAGGTCGGCTCTGACTGGACAATAAATAACCGCATTAGAATACACCAGATATGCTGAGAACAGATCTATAAATGTAACTTCTGGAGGTGCCAAAGAGAATAGTGAGGCTACATACATGTTAAAGAATGTGGTCACAGACCTGCAGCACTGAAAAAAATCCACGCTGGTTCAGATGGCCCATGATGTTTGCACAAATGTGATTCATGGCTGGCCGGAGACTCTCACCTAAATGAAGAGACAGACCGAGAAGGTGACCATAATGTAAATGGTTTACGGGGGACAGGAGGTCAGGGCTGGAAGAGAACGAGGTATCCTCTAGTTCATCTTCCTACTCCCTCTACATCTGGTCTCAGAGCTCAGGAGTCCCTGGCCAACCACAGTTCTCTCTTCTGGAAGAGAACTGTCACCTGTTCCATGTTAAGTCTTCTCACTCTCCTGGCCGGAGCTCTCTAGTCCCTCTGCTTTTCTCCTCTCTGTTCTCTATGGCTGCTTCTTCCCCACATGCTCCAGCTGGGGCCTAGAACCTAAAAGAATTTTAACCCCTACCATCCCATCCTTAAGACTGAAAAAATGCCTCCTTCCTGTCTTCAGGTCTTTGCACAGACAGTGCCCATCACTTTCAAAGTCCTGCCCCTCGTCTTCACTCTGATGATTTTGGAGCTTTCATCATTTACATGAGAGTGGCTGCTGTATTTAATGACTGTCATTCACCAGACTCCGTGAGGAAGGCACACAGCCACAGTTAGGCACCGAACACCCACGAGGACAGCGGCCACTTCTGTGAGCTCATCATCATGTCCTTAGAGCACACACAGTATCTGCTGAGCAGGGAGCTCTGGTGGCTTAGTGGTAAGGAACTGTGCTACTAATACAAATGCTTCACGGTTTGAATCCATTAGACGCTCTGCAGAATGATGGGCTTGCCTCCCATGAGATTTACTGTCTCTGAAAACCTGTTAGAGGGTCAGCTATGGGTCGGTCTGACTTGATGGTACACAGTAGCCACGTGCTGAAGGGAAATCTTTCACTCATTCATGTTTCAACATATGAAAACATGGAAGGCTAAGGACAACTTTCAGAGGAGGAGGCAGTTGCAAAATGTAAATCTTACAGGCAAAAAAACCCAAATTATTTGCTGCCTAAATGGAGTTTGTTACTTTAAGTGCAGATTGGCATTTGGAGGCAAAAGCTCTGCAGGAGTTATGGAGAAATATGGTAAGAGGTTGCGTGCCTTTAAACAAACCCAAAGGGAGAAACCACAGTATTCAGCATTGAACTGATCCCAGACACGACAATGCAGCCTGGCCAGTCTTGCTAAGGGGGCGTTGTATGTCTGCTTCAGGGTCTCCTGGGAGGCTATGACTTTGCAGAAAAGAGACAAGTTCCCCAGGCAGCAATTAGTAAAGATTCTGACACTGGCCCCACGGACCTTTTCCCCGGAGGATTTTCCAGGTGGAAGTGTCCGTGAAGGTGACAAGCATGGTGAGGTACAGCGTGATGAGCTTGGAGTCTTGTAAGATCTCAGGCTGCGGGCAATAAAGAAAAGAAGATTAGAACACGTATCCTCTGATTCACGTGGCAGAGATGCCATTGGGCATTTCCAGGAGCTGGCAGGCTTGAAGAAACGAATAAAGACTGCGAGTCAGTATTTACTCCTTTACTCCTGCTCAGAAAATGAAATGGAATTAAATGGCAAGATTCTCAGTTGTCTGAACGTAAAATTGGGAAAAGGTGAGCAGGGCTGGCTTACTTTGTTATTGTTACATGCCATTGAGTTGCTTGTGACTCATAGCGACCCTATGTACAACAGCCCTGAAACCTGTTCTGTCCTAAGCCAACCTTATTGTCTCTGACACACCTACTCCTATTATCCCAGTCACTGAGTCAATCCATCTCATCGACGGTCTTCTTCTCTTACGTTATCCCTCTACCCTCCCAAGTATGACATTCCTCTCCAAGGACTGGTCCCTCCTTACAACATGTCCAAAGTATATCAGACAAAGCCGCAGAATCCTTGCCTCCAAGGAGTAGCCACAAATGCAACATAGAAGAAATAATGTCATGAGTCAATTGTAATTCACACAGCAGAACTGACCCTCAGGATTTCTAAGGCTGGAAGCAGACTATCACAACTGTCTACTGTGGAGCAGCTAGTGAGTTCAAACCACCAAACCTTTAGTTAAACCAGGGCCCCTAACTACTGTAAATGTAGATATGCCTTAAACACCAAGGCATCCAGTGCAACACTGACAGCTTTATCTACTTATTCACGGGCACTAGTGCAACTAAGAGACAATTCAAAGCAGACTCCGACTTAACCATTTACCAGTGCTGTGATCTTGGGTAAGTTTCTTAAGCTCTCTGTGCTTCTGTTTTCTCATCTGTTGACCCATGATACTAACAGTGCTTTCCTCCCCTCTCAGAGCTGTAGAGAGGAAATGAACAGATTCACATATAAAAAGCACCAAGAACAGTGCCTAGAATATGTTGTTGTTATGTGCCGTCAAGTCATTCACAACTCATAGTAACCCTATGTACAATAGCCCTGAAACCTGCTCTATCCTGTACCAACTTTATTGTCTCTAACACAACTACCTTCATTACTCCAATCACTGAGTCAATCCATGTCACTGAGGGTCTTCCTTTCATGCATTGTCCCTCCACCCTCCCAAACATGACGTCCCTCACCAAGGACTGGTCCCTCCTTGCAATGTCCACAGTATGTCAGATGGAGCTTCAGAATCCTTGCCTCCAAGGAGCAGCCTGGTCTCACCCTCTCTAGGATGAACCTGTTTGTTCTATAGTCAATACTCTTCTCCAGCACTACAGCTCCAATTCTCTTTCTATCATCCCTAGTCACTGTCCAGCTGTCTGATGCATAGAAAACTGTAAACATGGACTATTAAAATCATGACAATAATTTCCTGTTTCTCAAGAGCAGGCTGGGCAAACAGTCTGACTCCTTACTAGACTAGGAGACCTTGTGTAGGAAGAAGGCAAACTGTGGTGGCATACTCCTTAAGGAGTTGTGCTGCTAACCCAAAGACTGCAGGTTCGAATCTATCAGTGGCTCTGTGGGAGAAAGACAGACAATCTCTTCCCCCGTGATTTACCACCTTGGAAACCTAATGGATGGTTTTCAACACGATAGCAGTGACAGTGAGAAGCTAAGAATATGAGGAGGAAAATCACTTGTTCAAGGTCACATGGGAAGTCAGCAGCAGAAGTGAGTCTAGATGAGGCTTCTCTGGCTTCAAAGCCAGCGTTCTTCCCTCCTGTCATGTGTATATACATCAACTTTGAGGACACATTTGTTGCAGATAGAGAAACCACTCTGGCTGAAGCAATTCGGTGGAAGTCTAATGCTCGAAGGACTGGACGCAAAGCCCTCAGGCTTCACCTGACAAGCCGGTCTGGCAGGCTGCTGGCTCGCTGCTTTGCTGGGTCGAGGCCAAGACAACTATTCATGAGCAACTCAGGAGGGGGCTGAGAACCAATGCTGGGAACTCAGGAGACATCTGCTCTGTCTCTCATCTGCTACCCGAGACCTTTCCCTTCTGACGTGCAAAGTTCAAGTGGCTGCTGTGCCTGCCACTTCCTGGAGCACCAGGGTTGACCCGGAACAAGGCTCTACTAGTTAGTCCTAGGCCCTCACTTGCCCTATAATCAGCTTAAGAGTTAAGCTCCGGATCCAACTATGTGGTTAAGAGTCCACTAGATTTCCATCTGGTTGTGACAAAGGACACATCCCTCTCTTTTGGTTAAGAAAGTGGAAGGATGTGAAGCCAGACTGTTGTTGCCACGATGAATACAGGAGGGAGGAAGGCAGAGAAGAGGGAGAATTGTGGCAGCCCTGGCTCCAAGCACCCCAGCTGCCAGTTTACAGACTAGCAGACCCTTTTCTTGCTTAATGTAAATGTATTACTGGCTGTGCTTCTGCTGGCTTGCTGTACTCATAGCAAGAGCTCTGAGTTTTATAATAATACAGATGATAAAACCTATAAAGATGCAATACAGCAAAAGAATGAGAATGAAGGCAATAGGTCTCCCTGGGGTCAAAACTGTGGCAAATCCAAGTTATGCTAACTGGCTGTCTTTGTTGCTGTTAAGTACACCAAGTCAGGTACTTAGAGCCATAGTAACTCTAAGAACAACAGATCTGTCATATTTGAGCCCATTGCTATAGACACTGTATCCGTCCATCTCATTGAGGGTCTTCCTTTCCTTCACTACCTTTCCTAGTAGGACATGATATCCTTTTTCAAGGACAGGTCTGAAATACATAAGATGCTTCACCATTCTTACCTCCAAGGAGCACTCTGACTGCACTTTCTCTGGATACAGAATGAGTGATGGCCAGGGGTTGCCTGAGCACCATTTTCACAAAGAAGTGGCACCCAGATGTACAGTGGGCGATGGCTGGGGTTGGCTATCTTCGCCAGGGAGCAGCACTCAGATAGAGGGCAGGCATGACTAGAGCCAGAGCCATCCTCTTCGGCATAAGAGGCTTATGAGCCAGGCTCTGCTGATATTTGTGGTATAGCATTTATTGGCTAGTTTGCTGTGCTGGGAGATGGGGTGGAGTGGGAGAGTGGTAGGGAAGAACCTGAGCGGTGTTGTTTAATTTATAATTTGTGAATGTATATGCTCGCTTGTTTATAATCTGCACTTATGATCAAAGTACTTGTCTATCAGTCTGCTGTACTGAGGTAGCTGGCTGGCTGCTGTGATACTGAAAGCTGTGCCACAAGTATGGATAGTTTTCAGTGGAGCTTTCAGATTAAGACAGACTAAGGAGGAGGACTGGCCGTTCACTTCTGAAATAACTAGCCTTTTAAAGTTCTGTGAACAATTCATAGAACACTGAATTATATGTAATAATAGAGGCTGCCATTGAGCTAACTTAATTTCCCACTAGACAAGCCTTTTCTTAGAGAAAGGAATGGATTTTGTATGAAATGCTATGGCTGTGTTTACATGGTTATTGTGAAGTGTCACCACGTCGAGGAGAACATAATTCTATCATCTTGGCACAAGAAAGGGACTTCTAGGCTTGATGACAAAAATAAGAAGAAACAGAAAAATATTCATTACATTAAAAAAATTAAAAATGCTTTTAAATTTTTCTTTAGTAGCATTTGATGGTTTATACTGTATGTCAATCTGTGAGCATCAGTATAATGTACCTATCCTATGTGTTATAAATTCTAACTTCCACGATGATAATAGGAAGCTCTGGTGGCCTAGTGGGAAGGAGCTGCGGTCAACTCAAAGGCACATGGTTCGAATCCACTGTGTTCCATGAAAGAAAGACAGGTAATCTCATTCCATGATATTTATAGCCAAGGAAAACCCACTGGAGGGTCAGTCAGGTAAGGATTGACTGTGATTCGATGGCACATAACAGCATGCTGTTAACAGGGATCTTTGATGATGTAGCCTGTAGGGAGTTGTGCTGCCAACACGAAGGTGACACTTCTCTGGCAGTTCAAGTCCACCAGAGGCTCCCATGGGGAAGATGGACAATCTTCCGTGCAATTTACAGGCTTCTGAAAATCTGCTGGAAGAGGCTGTAAGTGGTTTCGACCCATGGCAAAGAGTAATGATGCAAAAATGGCAGGATCTTGTACAAGCAGATATGTAAAGATATGATCAGCTTTATTTGATTAAGGGTAGATTTCTTCAGAGGTGTGGCTTGGTTTTTGTGCCTTGGTGTTACGGCAACTCTTAGTGATCCTATAAACAATGGCTCAGAACCTCACCCTATTCTGAGTCAACCTGTTCTTCTACAGCATACCTGATCCCACTGCCACAGTCACGGTGTCAATCCATCTCATCCTCTCTTGTGCTGACTTTCTACCCTTTCAAGCATGATGTCCTTTTCCAAGGACTGGGTCCCTCCTGACAACATCATGTCCAAAATATGTGAGATAGAGTTTCAAAACCTGGTTTTCACTTTCTCCAGGACAGATCTGTATCTGTTCTCTTGGCAGTCCATGATATATTTTCAATGCTCTTCCTCAGCACCAGAACTCAAAGGTATTGATTCATCCTTAATCACTGTCTAGTTTTCAGATGCACAGCAAGCAAATGGGAAGACAATGGATTAAATCAGGCACAGTTAGTCTTTCTTTAGTACTTCAGCATTCTGGAGAGGTTCTTGGTAGCAGATTTTTTTCCCAATGCAACTCATCTTTTGATTCCCTGACTGCCAGTGCCAAAAATGTTAATTATGGAGCTGAGCAAGATGAAATCATTAACAACCTCCCACAATGACAGTTGCAGTCCTTGATCTTCTGGAGCAAGAGTTTCAAGTCCTCCTCAGTCTCAGCAGGCAAGGTTGTGTCATCTGCATAAGGCAAGCTGTTTATGAGTCTTCCTCCAATCCTGATGCCACATTTTTCATCATAAAGTCTTTCAGTCCATATGCTGAACAGATTATTTAAGAGATTAGACTTTATGATGAAAAATGTGGCATCAGGATTGGAGGAAGACTCATCAACGATACATCCCTAATGCATTCTTT